ACAGCTGAGAATTTCCCTAATCCAGAGAAGGAAACAGGCATCCAAATCCAAGAGACACGGAGAACTCTCTTCAAAATCAACTGAAAACAGGTCAACGCCATGATATATAGTGAAAATGGCAAAATACAAAGATAAAGAGAGAATTCTAAAAGCAGCTAGGGACAAATAGGCCTTAACCTACAAGCGCAGACACATAAGGGTAGTTGCAGACCTCTCCAGTGAAAAAGGCAGGCCACAAGGGAATGGCAGGAAATATTCAATGTGCTGAATAAGAAAAATATGCAACCAAGAATCCTTTATCCAGCAGAGAGATAAAGGCCTTCCCAGAAAAAAACTAGAGGGGTTCATGGCCACTAAACGAGCTCTGTAGGAGATCTTAACGGGAGTTCTGTGAGTGAAAAGAAGCAAAGACTACAAAGGACCAGAGATATCACCACAAACATGAAACCTATAGATAACACAATGGCACTAAGTCTGTATCTTTCAATAATCACTCTGAATGTAAACGGACTAAATGTCCCCATCAAAAGACACAGGATATCAGAATGGATAAATAAACAAGATCCATCTATGTGCTGCATATAAGAGACTCATTTTAGGCCTGAGGATACATGAAGATTGAAAGTGAGAGGATGGAGAACCACCTATGAGCCACGCAGGAGCCCCAGACAAACTAGATTTTAAAACAGACTATAAGAAATGAAGAAGGGCACTCTATCATAATTAAGGGGTCTATGCATCAGGAAGAGCTAACATTTGTAAATGTTTATGCCCTCAACATAAAGTAGTCAAATACATAATTAATCACAAACATAACTAAATGTATAGATAATAATATTGTGACCACAAGGAACTTTAATACTCCACTTACAGTGATGGACAGATCATGTAGGCAGAGAATCAACAAGGAAACAATGGCTCTGAATGACACATTGGACCACATCGACTTACCAGATATATTCAGAACATTACATTCAGAACACATTCTTCTCAAGTGCACATGGAATATTCTCCAAAATAGATCACATATACTGTCACAAAACAGTTCTCAACAAGTACAAAAAGACTGAGATCATACCATGCATATTTTCAGATCACAACACCATGAAACTTGAAATCAGCCACAGAAAAAAATCTGTAAAGTCGCAAAAATATGGAGATTAAAGAACTAAAGAATGAATGGGTTAACCAGGGAATTAAAAAAGAAATTAAAAAATACATGGAAGCCAATGAAAATGAAAACACAATAGTCCAAATACTTTGGGATGTAGAAAGGTAGTTTTTAATAGGAATTCAAAAAGAAAAGAGAGAGGACCCAAATAGATAACATCATCACTGTAAGAGGAGAGGTCACAACCAATACCAAAGAAATACAAACAATTTTAAGAGACTATTATGAAAAATTATTTGCCAGCAAACTGAACAATCTGGAAGAAATGGGAACACATATTACCAAAACTCAAATGGGAAGAAATACAAAATTTGAACAGGTCTACAGCCAGCAAAGAAACTGAATCAGTTATCAAACATCTCCCAACACAGAAGAGTCCTGGGCCAGATGGGTTCCCAGGGGAATTCTACCATATTTTTTTTTTTTTAATGTTTTATTTATTTCTAGGAGAGAGAGAGAGACAGCGTGAGCAGGGGAGGGTCAGAGAGAGAGGGAGTCACAGACTCTGAAACAGGCTCCAGGCTCTGAGCTGGCAGTCAGCACAGAGCCCGACGCGGGGCTCGAACCCACGAACCGCGAGATCATGACCTAAGCAAAAGTCGGACGCTTAACCGACTAAGCCACCCAGGCACCCCTCTACCAGACATTTAAAGCAGAGTTAATACTTATTCTTCTTAAATGATTCTAAAAAACAGAAATGGAAAGAAAGCTTTCAAATTCAATCTATGAAGCCAGCATTACCTTGATTGTAAAACCAGACAAACACCTCAATAAAAAGAAGGATTACAGACCAATATCCTTGATGAACATGGATGCGAAAATTCTCAAGGAGCACCTGGGTGACTAAGTTCGTTAAGTGTACAATATCAGTTCAGGTCATATCTCATGGTTCATGGGTTTGAGCCCGGTATCGGGCTCTGTGCTCACAACTCAAAGCCTAGAGCCTGCTTCTGATTCTGTGTCTGTCTCATTCTCTGCCCTCCCCCATTCATGCTTTGAGATTCTCTCTCAAAAATAAATAAATATTAAAAAAATTTTTTTTTAATTCTCAACAAGTTACTAGTAAATCAAATTGAATAGTACATTAAAAGAATTATTCTCACTATGATCAAATCGGATTTATTCCTGGACTGCAGGACTGGTTCAACATTCATATATCCAACAATGTGCACATTAACAAAAGAAAGGACAAGAACCCTATGATCTTCTCAACAGATGCAGAAAAAGCAATGGACAAAATATAGCATCTTTTCTTAACAAAAACCCTTAAAAATGTAGGGAATAGAAGGAACATACCTTAACATCATAAAAACAATATATGAAAGGCCCACAGATAAGAATCATCCTCAATGGAGAACAAGAGAGCACTTTCCCCTGAGATGAGGAACACAACGGGATGTCTACTCTCATCACTGTTGTTTGACAGTTTTGGAAGTCCTAGCCTCAGCAGACAACAAAATGAAATAAAAGGTATCCAAATTGGCAAAGGAGATGTCAAACTTTCACTATTCCAAAATGACATGATACTTACTCTACGTGGAAAATCCAAAAGACTCCACCAAAAGACTGTTAGAGCTGGTACATGAATTCAGAAAAGTTGCAGGATATAAAATCAAAGTACCAAAATCAGTTTCATTTTTATTCACCAATAATGAAGCAACAGAAAAAGATATTAGGTAATGGATCCCATTTACAATTGCATCAAAAAATGTAAAATACCTAGGAATAAACCTAACCAAAGATGTAAAAGATGTATACTCCATAAACTATAGAAAGCTTATGGAAGAAACTGAAGAAGACACAAAGAAATGGAAAAACATTCCATGCTCATGGATTAGAAGAACAAATATTGTTAAAATGTCAATACTAGCCAAAGCCATCTACACATTCAATGCAATCCCTATCAAAGTAACACCAATAATCTTCTCAGAGCTAGAACAAACAATCCTAAAATTTGTATGGAACCACAAAAGACCCCGAATAGTCAAAGTAATGTTGAAAAAGAAAACCAAAGCGGAAGGCATTACAAGCTCAGACTTTAACTGGTATTACAAAGCTATAATCATCAAGATAGTATGGTATTGGCACACAAACAGACACATAGATCATTGCAATAGAATAGAGAACCCAGAAACAGACTCACAAAAATATGGCCAAATATATGACAAAGCAGGACAGAATATTCAATGGAAAAAAACTCTCTTTAGTAAGCGGTGCTAGGAGAACTGGGCAGTGACATGTGGAAGAATGAAACTGGACTACTTTCTTATACCATACACAAAAATAAATCCAAAACGGATGAAAGACCTAAATGTGTGACAGGAAACCACAAAAATCCTAGAGGAGAAAACAGGCAACAACCTTTTTGACCTCAGCTGCAACAACCTCTTACTTGACATGTCTCCAGAGTCAAAGTACACAAAAGCAAAAATGAACCACTGAGACCTCATCAAGATAAAGAGGCTTCTGCACAGCAAAGGAAACAATCAACAAAACTAGAAGGCAACCAATGGAAGGGAAAAGGTATTTGCAAATGACATATTGGATAAAGGGTTAGTGTCCAAAATCTATAAAGAACTTACCAAGCTCAACATCCAAAAAAACACAAATAATTCAGTGAAGAAATGGGCAAAAGATGTGAATAGACACTTTTCCAAAGAAGACATCCAGATGGCACACAGACACAAGAGAAGATGCTCAACATCACGCATTATGAAGGAAATACAAATCAAAACCACCTCACACCTGTCAGAGTGGCTAAGATTAACTCAGGAAACAACAGATGTTGGCAAGTATGTGGAGAAAGGGGAACACTTTGGCACTGCTGGTGGTGCAGCCACTCTGGAAAACATGGGAAGGTTCCTCAGAAAATTCAAAACTAGAACCACCTATTGCACTACTAGGAATTTATCCAAAGGATACAAAAATGCTGATTCAAAGGAGCACATGCACATCAATGTTTACAGCAGCACTACCAACAATAGTCAAATTATGGAAAGAGCCCAAATCTCCATCAACTGATGAATGGATTAAGATGTGGTGTATATGTATGTACACACACACTGGAAAACTATCTAGTGATGAAAAAAAATGAAATCTTGCCATGTACAACAATGTGGATGGAACCGTAGGATATTACACTAAGCAAAATAAGTCACTGAAAGACAGGTATCACATGATTTCACTCATAGGTAAATTGGGGAAACTTAAAAGATGATCATGGGGAAGGAAAGAGACTCTTATATACAGAGAACTGAGGATTAATGGGGGTGAGGGGGTTAAAGGTATGGAAAATGGGTGATGGGCATTAAGAAGGGCACTTGTTGGGATGAGCACTTGTTGGGGTGTTATATGTAAGTGATCGATCAAGACTATACTGTATTTTAACTAACTTGAGAATAAAATATATTAAAAAAATTTTCACATTTCACAGCAGAGGTCCAGAGCACAGAGCAACAATTCAAGTGAATTCAATTCAAAGTAACTGAGTGAAACTGTAAAAAACCTAGTTCAGTTACCTATTTTGCTTCATACCTTTTAAGTTTTGAACTATAGAAATCTATACATTATAAAGTGCTCTGGCAAAATAATGTAAGTTTTTCTGATCATAGTTTTGAAAGCTAATATAACTATCACAACACTCTTCCCCCAAACCATTTTACAAAGCTTACAAACAAAATACACATTTTCTCAAAATAATTCCTGAAAAAAATTAAAACACTAACATTTTCTTTTCAATCATAAATTACTTTTTCCAAGCTGAACCATGAAGGCTGAAATCACTTTATAACAAATTATACATAAAAATATGAAATGACTTGAGAAGTACCTGAAGTAGAAGCAGCCATCTTCTCTGTCATTATCTTTTATTTTATTACAACTAAATGTTTCTGCCTAGAAAGGAAGTAGGAGAGAAGGAGGGGAGGGAGAAATCAGGATGAAACCTTTATATTTTCACTAAATGTAAATACAGATCACATATGGATTTATAAATACAAACACACAGAGCTATATTATATATCTTTACAATGTATTAAGATTCAATAATGAGATTAGTCATGGTGACAATCATTACAAAAATTTTTTAATGTTTATTTGAGAGAGAGAAAGAGAGAGAGAGAGAAAGGAAGGAGCAGAGAAAGAGAGAAGGAGACAGAATCCGAAGCAGGCTCCAGCCTCTCAGCTGTCAGCACAAAGCCCAGTGCAGGGCTCAGACCTACAAACTGTGAGATCATGACCTCAGCCAAAGTCGGATACTTAACCAACTGAGCCATCCAGGTGTCCCTGTGACATACCATTTAAAAGGTACACAGTAGATCTCTGTGGGGGTGACATGGTATTAGCAGCCTGATGGGACTGACAGTATAAATTATGAATTCTGATATACTCATATACATTCATATATATATTCATATATATATATCAAGTGAAGTGGGTTAATGTGTAGTTCTCCAGTATATACACACTGTATTCTTACATTAAATTACATATAATATTAAGTTAAACATTAAGAGTTAATTTTAACTTCTAAAAATCTTCCCAGAACTTACATTTGCTAGGCAAATCATGAGAGACTCTTGAATGCTGACAAAAACTGAGGACTGATGGATGTGGGGGGGAGAGGGGATGGGCATGGAGGAGGGCACTTTGGGGATGAGCACTGAGTGTTATGTAGAAACTAATTTGACAATAAACTATTTGTAGAAAAAAANAAAAAAAAAAAAAAAAAAAAAAAAAAAAAAAAAAAAAAAAAAAAAGAACTTACATTTGCTGGTGGTCGGTTCCCACTGTTAGACAGCTGCCACATTTTCATGGAAATACGTGCTGGATTAATATTTTTGATGATACTGTCATCTTCAGAAATAACAGTAATCATAAAATCTGTCATGGTGAATATTAAACAATTATTTCCTAGTCCATTTAATGGATTTGGTTAAATAACTGTATGTCTTACAGTGTACATTTTTTTTAAATGTTAATAATGAAACTCTGAAGTAAACAAAACCATTCTGTAATCCGCATTCCCCAATAATCTGTCTATAAAAAATGTACAAATCATGACAGACAACTCTAATGCTAAATCTCCTCCAGAAATCTAACACATACATCTTTACTATTATTAATCTTTTGCCTTATTTTCACAATCTACCATGCTAGAAGTTCTACCATGCAAGACCAAAAAGGTTAGACTGTGGATACTCAGCAACACAGAATTAAGGCAACTGGTCATAAATCCATGTGCTTTACGTATTCTGAGAATACAGTGTTTCTTTTATGATTTTCAATAGCATACAGTAGTAAACTATTATTACATACAGTGTTCCCCTTTTATCATTCACGTGGCAGCCATATGATAGATGTAATTTTCTTAAAGTTTACTTTGAAAGAGAGAGAGAAAGAGAGAGAGAGTGCGCACGCACACATACAAACATGAGAATGCAGAAGAGGCAGAAAAGGGGGGGCAGGGCAGGGAGAGAGAATTTTAAGTGGGCTCTGGACCAGAAGCTTAGAGCCCAACATGGGGCTGGAACCCACAAACCGTGAGATCATGACCTGAGCTGAAACCAAGAGTCAGACGCTCTACCGACTCAGCCACCCAAGCACCCCTGATGGATATAATTTTTTAATGACAGGAAATAGGTCTTCCCTCCTGAAACATTTAAAATTTGGAGTACAAAGACTATGTATATATGTAACAATTATTAAAAGTTATTAATATTCTAATCTAAACTTTTTGGTCTGCTTGTTTCTACTGCTTATACCTATGTAAAGGAATTCATCCTTCAAGAAGACAGAGGTTCTCAAGAAAATCATCCATATAAAATCAATACATTTCCTATTGAAAACAGGAAGACTACACTGGAATTATCCGCTTACGTAAGTGTCTTCTACATTAGAACTCATTGGAAACTGTTGTAATCATTACTGAAATTAAGAGCCCAATACAGTGCCTGGACATTGTAGACATTTAGGAAATGTTTTTTGTTCTGAAATATTTAATCATAAATTCTAATGTTTTCATCCAATTAAACAATCCTGGTTCTATATGGATGAAAGTGACATTACCATCTATTTAATAAAGCCGCCATAGTTCCTGCCATCTTTCTTTTGCAGAACTTCACAATCCAGTGAATGAACAAACACAAACTTTATTACCAGAGGCTCTCAGTTTATGTATAAACTTTCAGCTCTTTCTTGACCATTAACGGAATGTATAATGCAGAGATGAAAGAAGATATAGTTAAATCAAACACTTTCTTTAACATTTAAAATGATATGCAGGCTTGTTTTTTTCCATGCTTATTATCTAAAATAATTTATTCCACTAATGCACAAAGCAATTATCATTACAAATTTACTTAAAATTTGTGACTTACTCACCAGTGAAAATACTCCCTGCTAAAAATGAAGCATCTTTGTCATATTTAATATTGAGACGAATAGGTTTTTCAGGGTCCGGAAGAATCATTAATTTAATTATAGGTCCTTCTATGTTATTTTTGTTATAAATGGCTCTAACCTGCATCACATGTTCTCCTCTAACACGAGGGAGAAAAAGAGAGACAAAGAGTTCTAATTACATTATAGTTATAGCTTAAAACTTAAGACAACTTATACAAAGTTTATTTACAAAACCTCTCTACTCCTCTTCAGTTCCATCTTCTACCTAACACTAAATAGAAGACTAATTACTACTCTTAACTTCAGCAAGGAATAAGAAAACGTAATCTCTAAATGACTAATAACTATGAAACTTTTAGTTCTTACCTAGGGGCATAAACACCCAACACTCCCAAATTAGCCCTGCCCCTTTCATCTGTTTTATGTTGTTGGTTTGAAGGAGTGAGCTAAAAACAAAACAAAACAAAAACGGTTAATTAGAAAACTCTAGAGATCAAATTCTTTTCCCCATTACAATGTTCTTCTCCTCCATTACTATTTAAAAATTTTTATTTGCACACACTTCTAAAATCTTTGATTTCCTAATCTGAACTAGAAATAATGTAATATGCAATTATATAACCAAAAGGACAACTCCTCATCTTGATCAATTAAACTCTAATTTAATTATTTCAGTTTTAAGTTGCTGAATTCAATGTTCACTGCTTCAAAAGCAATGATATTTCAAATGAAATTTGGTTATACAAGCACTGAAAGCACAATCCAAAAAGGGGGTTGAAGAGGTAGGGTGGGGGAATGGCACAGGTGAAATAAACATAAATATACAGTTAAGTCAAGGCATCAAGATACCATGTCCACTGTTACTTTAGCTTTCTCTTAACATTAACTCAAATGTGCTCCTTAGACCTCTGTTGCAACACTACCTTCTTAGTGACAACCAAGCTTTCACTTTCAAATGAATTAAAATCAGTGGAACTAATCATTGGTTAAAAAAATCTTTCAGCCTTCTACAAATGCTTCTGTGAAACTAGACTAATATTCTTATTTGTGGTAGAAAATAATCAGTTTAACTATCCTAGATGCAAACGTTGACAACAAAAGTGAATTTGTAAACTATTGTAGCAGAATATCAGACTTTCCTAAATCCTCATTTTCATTTTTGCTTAATGGAACCTAAAAATCAGATGATAGATACATGCAAAAAAGCAAGGAATTAGGCAAAAATGAGAAGGAATAATCAAAATGACAGGATAAAATCCTTTATTTTACTTAACCTATTTACCCTCTGATCCATTATCTCTCAACCCATCTTTCTCAAAGTATTTCTTCCATCTGGGTCCTAAATTCTTGTTGCTAAACCCGAGAAGCATGTCTTCTATTTCAGGCTGAATAGCAGCAATACCATAGTCTTTCTTAAAAGGCATTAAGACCTCTGACCCTGATTATTCTTCTATGAAAACAAGTCTATGTGGATCACAAGCCATTCTTGGCATTTTAATCTCTCATATGACTTTTAAGATAAATGTGTCAGTTCCTGAAAATCTGTCAGTTCTTATTGAGCTAATGGATTAATTTTAAGACAACTGAACATTTACATAATCTCAACTATTTTAAGATGCTAAAATTATAAAAATGTTTGTAGAAGGATACTTAAGCCTGGCTGAAGACAACCCCAGGAATTGTCTGTGTTGCCTGGTAACAAACTGACTGGGACAAATTAATTGACTTCATTAGGAGGGACTATGTCAAAATACAAATTTGCAAGGGACTAGCAGCTTCTCCCATTTCCCCTCACAGAAGGGCCTCCAACTCTGTACCAGGCACCTCACGTCCCCCCTAGAACCTAAGTAGCTGGCTATTCCAGGGCTCATGTAAACAGGTAATACCTAATCTAGGACTTCTTGGTATCAAGCACTCTGTGCCCCCAAACATTATAAGGCCATATTCGTGCCTGCCCCACACCCTAGAATACAACTCAGTATATATGTCTAGCAGCTATGCCCAGGCCCTGGTAGCTCTCCATAAGGTATGGAGGGCAGGTACTCACATGATGCTTTTTGATTACCCTTAGCTTGTTAAGTTTCCCAAGTAGTGCATATTCCTTAATCCATACTGCAGGTCATATCTGCCTTTACTCACTTTCTCAGTGTCATCTATTCATTCTAATCTTAAACCCAAATACAGATTAGCAGTCAAAGACTCCTAACTGTAGACTATTGCCCCTTATTACACTGCTTGCAAAATATAAAGTTTACTTCCTCAAAATAATTATGAAAAATCTTTAAGTTGAAAACTGAGCAATAAGCAAGGTTATATAAACTGTATTTTTAAAAATGTGACAGCTAATAACATTATCACAGCAATGAAACCCTTAAAAATGAAAAATTTTAAGTAGATGAAAATTACATAAGGACTTTTTTTAAATGTTACGACGTAAAGATGTTTAAGGAGACAAAAATTATGGAAGGATGTAAGGAAGTTTTAAAACTTACCTTTAAATTGTTAGGTTTCACAAGACTTATTTTGACCTGTGGTACAGGTGCTGGATTGTCCCACTGATCACAAAGTTGAACAATGAGAGGATTCTGTAATTCTCTTCCATTAATCACTGGAATGGACTAAAACAGGTATAAGTATTTTCAAAAGCAATAAAACATATGTGCCAAACAATATAATTACTATTGTACACTTATAAAATGATCACTTAATTTATCTCAGTTCTAGACACAAATGTCTTCATCTATTAAAATAAACTTCTGAGGGGCACCTGGGTAGCTCAGTCGGTTAAGTGTCCGACTTCGGCTCAAGTCATGATCTCATGATTAGTGAGTTCAAGCCCCATGTTGGGCTCTGTGCTGACAGCTAGCTCAGAGCCTGGAGCCTGCTTCAGATCTTGTATCTCCCTCTCTCTCTGACCCTCCTCTGCTCATGCTGTCTCTCTCTTTCTCTCTCTCAGAAATAAATAAAAAAAAATTTTAAAAATTAAAAAAAAAAAAAAAAACCTTGTATGGAACCAGACAAGACATAACCAAAGTAATGTTGAAAAAGATAACCAAGCTAGAGGTATAATGCCAAATTTCAAATTGTATTACGAAGCTATAACCATCAAGACAGTACAGTACTGGCACAAAAAACATATAGATATAGATCAATGGAACAGAATAGAGAACCCAGAAAGAAACCCATAAACTTATGGTCGACTAATCTTTGACAAAGCAGGAAAGAGTATCCAATGGAAAAAAGACAGCCTCTTTAGCAAATGGTGCTGGGAGAACTGGACAGCGACATGCAGAAGAACGAAACTGGACCACTTTCTTACACCATATACAAAAATAAATCCAAAATGGATGAAAGACCTAAATGTGAGACAGGATATAATCAAAATCCAGAGGAGAAAACAGGCAACAACCTCTCTGACCTTGGCCACAGCAACTACTTACTAGACATGTCACCAAAGGCAAGGGAAACCAAAGCAAAAATGGAACTATAGCTTCTACGAAGGAAAGGAAACAATCAACAAAACTAAAAAGCAACTGATGGAATGAGAAAAGATACTCGTAAATGATGTGGTGGATAAACGATTAGTATCCAAAATCTATAAAGAACTTACCGAACTCAACACCCCAAAAAACAAATTAATCCAGTGAAGAAATGGGCAAAAGACATGAATACACTTTTCCAAAGAAGGCATCCAGATGGCTAACAGACACTTGAAAAGATGTTCAACATCACTCATCATCAGGGAAATACAAATCAAAACTACAATGAGATACCACCTCACACCTGTCAGAATGGCTCAAATAAACAACTCAGCAAAGAACAGATATTGGTGAGGATGTGGAGAAAGGGGGACACTTTTGCCCTGTTGGTGGGAATGCAAACTGATCCAGCCACTTGAGAAAACAGTACTGAGGTTCCTCAAAAAATTAAAAATACAACTACTCTATGACCCAGCAATTGCACTACTTGGTATTTACCCAAAGAATATAAAAATGATGATTCTAAGGGGCACATGCACTCAATGGTTATAGCAGCACTAACAACAATAGCCAAAATATGGAAAGAGCCCAAATGCCCATCCACTGATGAAAAAGGATGTAGTACACATATATAATGGAATATTACTTGGTGATCAGAAAGAATGAAATCTTGCCATGTGCAACAATGTGAATAAAGCTAGAGTGTATTATGCTAAAAGAAATAAGTTAATCAGAGAAAAGACAAATATATTATTTCATTTGTGTGGAATTTAAGAAGCAAAACAAATGAACACAGGGGGTAAGGGAAGGAAAAATAAGATAAAAAGAGACAGGGAGACAAACAGTAAAAGACTCTTAAATACAGAGAACGGAGGGTTGCTGGAGGGGAGGTGGGTGAGGGTACAGCTAAGTGGGTGATGGGAATTAAGGAGGGCACTTGTTGGAATGAACGCTAGGTATTACATGTAAGTGACGAATCACTGGATTCTACTCCTGAAACCAATACTACACTGTATTAACTGACTTGAGTTTAAATACATTTTTTAAAAAAGAATTAGGAAATTTTAGAATACCAGATATTCAATGATTACTTTTACAGCCTTATCTACATATAACCATTTCTCTAACATAATGAGAAATCAGGTGTTTAAAGCTTCTGGATTTTTAAGGTATCTGCAAATTAATCTTCTAAAAAAACTTTTGAGTTAAGCTGTCATTATTTTTTACATTCCCTGACACAAAGCCATATAAAAATATGAACATGTCAAGATTTTTTCCACCTCAAAGGTCAACAATTATTTCATAATGTCATCAACCAACAAATCCTTTACTGACTTCATTAGGTGCAAAGTGTATTAATTTTTGTAGTATAAATGCTCCCAAATAAAAATAAATGCACTGCTTTACAGTAAAACTCCTCAATCAACACATTACAAAAGTTTTTTAGACCTCACTGTCATCACCTGTTTATCTCTTATTTTAAATTCACAAACCAAAAAGAACAATCTCAAACTAGAGCACAGATAATGTACAGTTTTCTTAGATGATGTACTCAAACTTTAAGGGTATAACTGCATCCATAATCATGGTGACATAGCTCATCTTCCTTTAGAGAAGTATGTAAGCTGTCATTCCAACAGGATGAGCCCTGCTAGACCACACTGAAAATGAAAATCTCAACATTTTAAAATCAGAATTCTAACCATTTAGTAAAACTCAAGAGATTTAACAGAAATTTGCAAAATTTGTAGTTAAGATTTAACTATTTTTAAAGGAAGGTATACCAATGTTTTTATGTGTATAATGACTTGATATCTGATATGCTTTTTCAAACTCCAGAGAAAATATTTTAAGACCATAAGACAGAACAATGAAAATTAGGAAAAAAAACAGTAACTGTTGAAACTGGGGTTCATTATGCTATTTTCACTTGCACACATGTTTGAAAATTTCTGTAATAAATTTTTTAAGGTGTGATTACACTATTCAAAATTTGTTTTAATTTAAATTCTAGTAAAATTAACAAACTGTAAATTTCTCAGTGCTCAAGTTATTACCCTATTTTTTTAACAAATGAGGACACAAGTGATGAATTAAAGAACAAGTATTTAGAATCGTATCACTTTGGACTGTGTTTTATTGTTACCACTGTTATTTGCTGTTACTTCAACAATAAAATGTATCTATCCACTGACAATCTGAAAGTAATAATCCATGTGATAGTAAATTCCTTCAATCAAGGCAGTTACTCACCTCCTTTGAGTCTGGCCAGTCTATAAGAAGAAGTTTTGCTGGTGGTCCAGAAATTAGCTGCACTCGAATAAAGTCAGAAAATTCACGCCAAGTAAAACAAAGATCCTTATTTCCAGGAGGGCCTGGAATAAATCTGATGCCTTTTACACTTATACTTTGTGTATTTTCCTAGTGAGGGAAAGTACATTGAAAAGACAGGGATATAATGTTTAGTTTTCAAAAAAGAAAAAAGAAAATGCTGTCATTAACTCATGTGCATACACATTTGTTTCTGTGTAAAACGATGGCAAATAATTTGCACACACGCCAATAGTGGCATACTATGAAAATCATTTCTTGAAAGGAGAAACTAAAATTCTTTTTTGTGAGAGATCTAAAAGGTGCTATGTCTTTTTATCTTACCTTTTGCTACTTGCCCTCTTATTTACATCATCTCCCTTTTTTCCCCCCAAACAGCAAAGTGAGTGCTTGCCCAACACCCTTTCTTTGCACTTGTTCTTTCTAGATGTTTGCAAAATTCTTTACCAATCTCCCTGGCCTTTCTTCAGGTTTCTGCATATAGGATGCCTTAATCAAAGGGGTCTTCCCTGACTATCCTATATAATGGCACGGTTTCCACTATACCATTTTATTTTTCTTCTTATCACTTATTTCTTACCTACCCCATGCTCTTCCCATTATAAGGTGATCTCCAAGAAGGTAGGGGCTTTGATTTGTTACTGCTCAATCTCAGGTTCACAGCATATTAATGAGAATCAATGAAACTAGCCTATAATTTCTGCAACATGACAGAATGATAGAACTAATTCCATACTGACACAAGCACTCTAGTATTTACATTTTAACAATGACCCCTTAACAATTTTACCTTAAATTTGTAATTAGTACAAATCTATTTCATCAGATTTAAAAAATTGTTTTTATATTTTACTTACTTTTGAGAGAGAAAGAGAGAGAAAGTAGGAGGAAGGGCAGAGAGAGGGAGGCATAGATTCTGACGCAGGTGTCAGGCTCTGAGCTGTCAGCATAGAGCTGATGCGGGGCTGGAACTCACAAATTGTGAGATCATGGCCCAAGCTGAAGTCGTACACTTAACCAACTGAGTCACCTAGGTGCCCCTATTCCACCTGATTTTAACAATCAGTGTTAAAATTTCATGTTTTACATTCACCAATGTTTGTAGAACATTTTCTGTACAAAGACACTGCAAAATAATTAAAATTAATTTCCACTCAAACCCCAATGGGTTCAGAATTTTTCAGTATCTGGAAAACAAATATTCATTAGTAAAACATACTGACAGCTGAAAATACGTAAAGTATAACCTAGAATTCTGTGTTTATTAGTGAATCACTAAAAGCCTTGTTGAAGAGATGATTTCTTGTTTAAGTCCTGTTGGAAGTTATTCTTATTTTACTTCCAATCTTGAAAATGAAATTTGTATATGCATTTACAAAGTTAGATGAGTCCAAATAGAATTAAATATAAAATGCTGAAAGATGCTATGGTCTAAAGCTGAAATTATCAAAGGAATATACTTCAGAAGAGCAGTACATTTTATGTAAATGCAGAAATAATTTGAAGAAATAATATTAAAATTACTTATTTCCCAAAAACCCAACTATTTATTTACTTATTTTTTTTAAACCCCACTATTTAAAAAAAAATAGTTTTAAAACTGAAGGCTCTGATTTCTTCCTCTGAAGAGACTGGGAGTAGACTCCTTATATTTGAAAGTGAGTTAAGATAGTATATATCAGTTGTAAAATGACAACAGGAAGTAAGTCACCTCAGCTAAAGAGCTATGAGTGGGAAAAGGTGTGAGATTATGCTGTGGAAAGATATTTTAGGCCATACTAAGGAGATGAAGTCTAAATTTATAGTATAAAATGCTGACAGATCTAATAGGTGGCATAAAATGAGAAAGGAAAATGGACAATGGATTTGTTCAGGTAAAAGAGAAAAAACATGATGAATGCACTGCCTGAGAATGATAGAAAAGGATGTGTAAACAATATTTACAACTCTTCCAAGAAGTTGTATATATAGGAGTATATACCATAGAAGTTATACCAGAAAGAAGAGAAACAGAGCAATAGATGGACAGGGAATTTGAGCCAAAGGATGTTTTAACTGGTATGGGGAATGGGGGTGTAATTTGTCTTTTAAAATGAGAGATACGATGGGGTGCTTGTGTGATTAAAAATGTCCAACTGTTGGTTTCCACTCAGGCAATGATCTCATGGTTTGTGAGTTCGAGCCCTACATGGGCTCTGCACTGACAGCACAGAGGCTGCTTAGGATTCTCTCTCCCCCTCTCTGTGCCCTTGTCCCACTTGCACGCCATCCCTCAAAATAAATAAACTTAAAAAAAAAAAAGATGAGAAATATGACAGCATGTTTACATGCTGATGGGAATCTAGCAGGGAAAACTGAAGACGTAGGAAGGCAGGTGATAATTTAGCAGAAATTATTGAATGAAATGGGTGTCTATACATAAAGTGATGGAAGGCACAGGTTGCTCATGCATACAGCAAAAACAGTTATCTTCTGATTTCCTGCAGAAAAATAATGGAGTAGCCTGGAAGTCAAACACTAAACTTTATCTTTGTAAAGTAAACAAAACATCATTACAAGTTCTTTGGCACTGCTAAGACATAGTGAGTTGTGTGGTGAAAACTACAATATTATCAATAGATTAGTGAGAATAAGAAACTCTAGTAAGGCAGGGCAACAAAGAGGCTACTCTTATGACTGTCATGTTAAAAACTGTAATGGAGGCTCTAAAAGGAAGGAGAATTTTTTAAAAAGCATTAAATGCCCTAAATGGATTCAGCTTTACTTGGGCCTTTAGACCTACTCTGTCCTGGCAGGTTCCTTAAAGCCCAGACTCACACATCTTTTTTTTCCCCTAAGAGTTGTCTTTGATCTCTCCAAGCAGAATACATCATGCTTGCTTGCTTGTTTTAAACTGAAAAGATTCCACTGCAGTTATTTTTTCAAGCTAATCCCAATTAACTACACAGTTGTAAACTTCCTCAATTAATTTTTTCACCAGCATCCTATTTAATGCAGTATGTAAACACTAAAATTTTATTTTTGAAAAATTACTTTTATATATATTCCAAAATATTTATGGATGAAATGATATAATGTACGGAATTTGTTTCAAAATGATGGGGAGCCTCAGTGACTCACTTGTTTGGTTTCAGCTCAGGTCATGATCTTGCAGTTCGTGGGATAGAGCCCCATATTGGGCTCTGTGCAAAACCTACTTGGGATTCTTTCTCTCCCTCTTTCTCTACCTCTCCTCCACTCGTGCATATGCCCTCTCTCAAATTAAACTTAAAAAAAAAAAAAAAAGACATGGTGAGGGGGAAAGTAATGATTATTGAGGCTGAGTGATAGAAACATGGGGATTACTAATGCTATTTATTCTATTATTGGCATATATGTTTAAAGTTTATCATAACAAAACCTTTTTAACGCCTTTTGCAATTTTGCATTGTAAGCACCAAAATCAAACTTCTTTTAGTTATTTTAGTTTTCCCCAAATGTTGTTAAATGTAAACCAATGGCATAAGCCAACTGCTATGAAAAGTAGTCATACCTGAAAAGTAGTTTTCAAATGAGAGCTGTCAAGTCCAACCCCAGCAATTCCCAAGGCAGATAAAGAACTTGGTGAAAATGCTTGAATCTGATTTCCATACTGATCTGTAACTATTACAACTATATAAAAAAGGAAAGTTTAATTTTAACGCTTAAAATTATGCTTAGAAAAACCACTGTAACTTTGTTCTCTTACATATTTGTTAAAAAAAAAATCATACTTGCTTCTTGTATAATCTCTACCAAAAAAAAAAATCAAGAATCTACTTAAGTGTTCTTATATTTACATATGTAACACAGTTTTGATGTTACTAATTTTTTACTGTAAAATTTGAAGAAAATTTAGTATTATGTGATATTCTATTATATATATAATGTTTAGTAAGAAAAATAAACATGAATCCACTGATACATTTACTTTACACTTTTAATGTTAACTGTTATTACTTCTAACAAAAACCAGTATTTTTCCAAGAAATTATTTTTGCCAAGCTGATTTTAAAGATATGTCAGCCTAGGCAAAGATAGTGAAAATACAGCAATCTTTTCTAACAATGGAACTTAAAACAATAAATGTATATAAAACCAAAGCCTTCTTTTCAGATCGTGTATGCCAAAACATGAATGTAGGTAAACACATATTCTAAAAGTATTATAAAGAAAAAAAAGCAGACCATACTAACCTATTTCTCCTTGAAGCTCTTGGCCCATCTGTACTGTTTTTCCTCCTTTTAACTCACATTTTAAATGTTTAGGCTCATCAGGAAGTGGCCTGAAATAAGTTAACAAAAGGCTTTAGTTCTACTTTTGTTTGTAGAAAAAACTTAGTTTCAATACACTAAAGAGTATACATGTATATATTTAACACTCACTTTCTAAATCTTAAATACAACAATACCCCTCCCAAAAATACCTCAATTTACAGAGCATCACTATTAACCCAAATGGAAACATAAAAAAGGCAGCTTAAAATGAAGTGTTAAATCATAGCATCTATGTTGGATTAAAAGGAAATTATGACTAGAGAACTGAGAAAGAAAAGATGGGTCAGTAAGATCTCTCTCATCAAGAGATCTGGCAGCAGGTGTAGAGCAGTACATCTGAAAATTTTATCTCAAATATGGAGCCTGGAAATACTATGAAAATGGATGGAGGGGGGCGCCTGGGTGGCTTAGTCGGTTAAGCGTCCGACTTTCGCTTAGGTCATGATCTCGCGGTTCGTGGGTTCGGGCCCCGCGTCGGGCTCTGTGCTGACTGCCAGCTCAGAGCCTGGAGCCTGTTTCAGTATGTGGCTCCCTCTCTCTCTGACCCTCCCCTGCTCAAGCTGTCTCTCTCTATCTCTCCTAGAAATAAATAAAACATTTAAAAAAAAAAAAAAAAAGAAAATGGATGGAGGAATTCAAGTTAATGAGGTTACTCGAAGAGGTGAGCAAGAAACTGAGGCCACGGTAAAAGTTTTTTTATATATATATTTACCTAAGTCTTCCCCTTTTCTATCATTAATACACAGTAGGCCTGATAGAACTCAGCTTTAAAAATTCCATTACTAAGGAATGAAAGAATTTTTCCTTCTGAGCAACACACTGATCACACTGTATCTTTTATTTTTTTTCATATCTGTCATTTCACTGTTTTCACTGTTGCTTGCACTAGGAGGGCTTTCCTTTACTGACAGTTCTAGTTCTTACAAATACCAGAGGGCCAATAAACACAAGGTGTACTAAAGAATAAAATACTTAGGAATGAACTTAACCAAAGAGGGGAAAGACCAATGAATTAATCACTATCTCCTGTGAAACTATTCCAAAGAAAACCTACCGTATTTCATAGAAATTGAAATCTTCTCTACATTAAAAATAACTTTCACTAGTGTGCTTTGGAGAAAAGTATTTTTGTTATCATATGCTGAATTTTGAAATACCTCATAATATAATATGCTCACAAACCTTACTGTAAATGCACTTTCCAAAGACACATGATCATCTTGGAATGAAACCTGGCAATAGCGCATATCTTTCACAGATGTTGGTACTTGTACATCAGGAAGGAGACCCTGTAGCAAGTGTTCTTTGTTAATCTCAGGAGTCCAATTAACCTAAAAAAGAAATTATACACCTAAGATTAATATAAAGCTTTGTCTAATGTGCTCCTAATGCTACTTGTCTTACTGAAGAATCAAAGTTAAATTATAAACAACGTCCCCCACCTCCAAAGAAAAAGTCCCTTTATGACCATAAATGATGGTGATTCATATGTTAATAAGATTAAGAAGTTTCTTTCTCTTCTAAAGACACCACCAAAAAACTAGTAAAAGTAATAAATTTAGTAAAGTGGCAGGATATACAATTAACACCCAGAAAACAGAAGTGTCTCTATATGCTAAAAACAAAGTACAGAAAGAGAAACTAAAAAAAAAATTTACAACTACATCAAAAAGAATAAAATACTTATGAATAAACTTAACCAAAGAGGTGAAAGACCTGTACTCCAACACCTATAAAATACTGATGAAAGGAACTAAAGATGACACAAACAAATGGAAAGATATTCCATGCCCATGAACTGGAAGAATACTGTTAAAAATGTCCATATTATCCAAAGGAATCTATACATTCAGTGCACTCCCTATCAAAATACCAAAAGCATTTTTCACAAAGGCAGCATAAATAATACTAAAATTTGTATGATACCACTGGAGACCCAGAGTAGGAAAAGAAATCCTAGGAAAGAACAACAAAACTTGAGGTATCACAGTAGCAGATTTCAAGACATACTAAAGCTGTAGTAATCAAAACAGGATGCTACAGACCCAAAAATAAACACATAAATCAATGGAACAGAAGAGAGACCCAGAAATAAACCCAAGATTATATAATCAATTAATCTAGGGCAAAGGAGGAAAGAATATGCAAAGGGAAAAGACAGTCTTTTCAATAAATGGTGCTAGGAAAACTGGACAGCTACGTGTAAAAGAATGAAACCAGTTTCTAACACCATACACAAAAATAGACTCAAAAAGGATTAAAGACCCAAATGTGAGACCAGAAACCATAAAAATCCTAGAAGAGAACATAGGTAGTAATTTCTCTGACACTGGCTAGAAAATGCCAATTTTTTCTAGCTATGTCTCTTGAGACAAGAGAAACAAAAGCAAAAATAAAAACTGGGACATCAATAAAAAGCTTTTGCACAGTAAAGGAAACCATCAACAAACCCAAGACAACCTACTGAATAGGAGAAGATACTTGGAAATGACATATCTGATAAAGGGTTAGTATCCAAAATATATGGACACTTTATATATGTACAAAGAACTCATACAACTGAATGCCAAAAAAAAAAAAAAGTCTGATTAAAATATGCACATAAGACCTAAATACATATTTCTCCAGGAAGATGAAAAGATACTCAACATCAATAATCGTCAGAGAAATGCAAATCAAAACTACAATGAGATATCACTCTGTCAGAATGACTAAATTACAGAAACATAATAACAAATGTTGTCAAGCATGTGGAGAAAAAGGAACCCTTGTGCACTGTTGGTGGGAATGTAAAGTGGTGCGGCCACTCTAGAAAACAGTATAAAGGTTCATCAAAAAAATTAAAAATAGAACTGCCATATGATCCAGTAATTCCACTATTGGGTATTTACCCAAAGAAAACATAACACTAATTCGAAAAGATATGTGCCCCTTTATGTTTACTACAACATTATTTACTATAGCCAAAATATGGAAGTAACCTAAGTGTACATCAACAGACAAATGGTTAAGGAAAATGTGGTGTATCTATACAGTAGAATACTATGCAGCTATAAAAACAGTAGACTGTGCCATATGAGACAACATGGATGGACCTGAAGGGTATTATACTAAGTGGTAAGTTGAACAAATGCCATGTAATTCCACTCATAGGTACAATCTAAAAAGCAAACAATACCAACCAAATGAATAAACAAAAAGCAGAATCAGACCTACAGAGAACAAACTTATGGTTGCCAGAGGAAAGGTAGAGGAGACGGGGGTTCGGCAAAATGAGTCAAGGGGAGAGAGGTATAGGCTTCCAGTTATGGGATGAATAAGTCATAGGAATAAAAGGTACAGCATAAGAAATAAAGTCAATGATAGTGTAATAGCAATGTAACAGGACAGATGGTAGCTACAGTTGTGGTCAACAGATAAACTTGTCAAATCACTAAGCTATATATCTGAAACTAACAGAACACTGTATGTCAACTATACTCAAATAAAATTTTTAAAAAGTTTCTTCCTGGTCTTCACTGTTAATATTACCATTATCTTTCAGTGGAATGAAATGTTTTGTCACTTCTTTCATGTTGTGCCATAGGATTACCACGGTGGTTATTATGGCTTAAAATAAAATAACATACACCTCAAATCAAACAATCAATTCTGAGAGTAATATTCAAATTTTTGTTAGGGACACCTGGGTGGCTCAGTTGGGTAAGCCTCCGACTTCGGCTCAGGTCATGATCTCAGGGTTTGTGGGTTCGAGCCCCACATCAGGCTCTGTGCTGTCAGCTCAGAGCCTGGAGCCTGTTTCAGATTCTGTATCTCCTTCTCTCTGACCCTCCCCTGCTCAAGCTGTCTCTCCCTCTCTCTCTCTGAAATAAATAAAACTTTAAAAAAAAAAAAAAAGAAGAAAACAAGGTTTTGTTAAAAGAAACCTATTAATGAGGCCTTTGAATGAGATCTGGATTAACTCCTATTCACCAAGATAAGAAAACCAATTATATCTACTTAACTACCATTCTGGCTACCTTTGGGTCTTAATCCATTCTTGAAGGCTTTTAGCTCTACTTTCATTTTAAGTCTCTTGCATTCCATATATTAATTTTTTACTCAATCTCTTTTTTAAGTTGAGTACCCTACTGCATCCTTTTTAAAACTTCCAACACTTTCTATGTAAGAATTTTTATTTCAACTTTCTCTTTTACCCTTCCATAGTTGTGATTCTTAAATCTCTGATGTTCTAATATTTTGACTCTAGTTTATGCTGTTCAAATGTTCTTAGTCACCTTTTTATCTTTAATTGTTTTTTTTTTTAATATTTTTATTTATTTTTTAGGAGAGAGAGAGAGCGTGAGCAGGAGAGGGTCAGAGAGAGGGGGAGACACAGACTCTGAAATAGGCTCCAGGCTCTGAGCTGGCAGTCAGCACAGAGCCCGACGCGGGGCTTGAACCCACGAACCGTGAGATCATGACCGAAGCGAAAGTCGGACGCTTAACCGACTTAAGCCACCCAGGCGCCCCTTTAATCGTCTTTTATACATTATATAAATATATGTAAACATATATATATGTAAGTACACACACTTTTTTTAAATAATGGAAGAAGCAGGAGTTATAACTTTAAAAAGCTATACTTTTTAAAAAGGCTTTCTTCTCACACTCAAGCCATGCTGTCCCTTCAATGGATTAGGCTGACTCAGGGTTGACTTTCCTCAATATTGGAGAGTTCTCTGAAGACCACAGAAATCACTTTAAAGATTATACATTTAATATCTTTTATTGCCAATAAAGAGGTGCATGTTTTAAAATCTTTGGAACCCAAGAAATATTAACTACTCAACTTGAGGCAAAATGTGTCAAATGCTAGTCACATGCTTACAGAATGGCAAAAAGAAGATTATATACAGGTAGAGGCTCTCCAGTCAATGTTTCTTCTTAATCTTGGTAAGAAACCACAATGTAGGAACCTAACTATGAGAAACCAAGGAACCAGGTCAGAAGTCAGGTTCCTGGCACCACTTTTAATTTTTTTTTTAATTTTTATTTATTTCTGAGACCAAGAGAGACCGCGTGAGCAGGGAAGGGTCAGAGAGAGAGGGAGACACAGAATCCAGAACAGGCCCCAGGATCTGAGCTGGCTGTCAGCACAGAGCCTGACGTGGGGCCGCAAGATCATGACCTGAGCTGAAGTCAGATGCTCAACCGACTGAGCCACCCAGGCGCCCCTCCTGGCACCACTTTTAAATCACTCAACTTCAAATACACTACTATAGATAAAAACAGCTTGCCTCCCCTACCAAGAAGGATCAGGTTATTTTTGTCAATTCTCCAGTCCCTCATTATGGAGGGAAAAAAGAAACTGGCTGGGGCAAGGGATATTTCAAGTAAGATTTAAAAATAAAGGCAGCTGAACCCCTGCTGAACAATTCTTTTAAAATGTCAGATCCCAAGGGGGTACCCTGAATGGCTCAGTCAGTTAAGCATCTGATTCTTGATTTTGGCTCAGGTCATGATATCACAGTCAGGCTCCACACTGGAAGTGGAGCCTGCTTGAGATTCAACTTCCCTCTCCTTCTGCCCCTCCCACCACACGCCATACACAGGCTAAATATATAAATATCAAATCCTGTATCCGGAAACTCAGATGGCTATAGGATAAAACATTACAAAGAAATAATTACCTCCTATACCACATAGTAACTCTCCACAAATTTAGTTAATTGGGACCTCTTAAATAAGGGCCTGCAAATGTTGGCTTTCCAAAGGGGGAATGTTTTATCTCTACCTGCCTTAAAGAAATTTGGATTTTTAAAAAAATTATTTTCTCACACAAGATTTGGAGTTTTCTTTATGGATGACAAGGAAAAGAGTACGATTAGTTCTGCTATAATGTTTGGTTTGAAAATGCGTATTTGTTCCAATGATATTAAAATATTAGGGACAGTGTGAGAATAAAGCAAATTTTATGCCTTATGTACAACTACAATTTTATGTACTATTTCATCCATGAAAACAGAAAACTGTTCCCAGCTAAACCAATCCATGCAGAAATACACAAGTAACCACAACTCAAACCTACCAGCCACCTCGGGTGATTATGTATATTGAGCCACACAGGTCTATACTTAGTGGAGTTTCTGCAACTTCACAGTAACTCACAAGCTGCAACCCTTCTCGCACTCACTTCTACAAAGTAAACTGACATTACTGTAGTGTTTATGGACTTTTTAATCATTTAATGTGTTATTGTTACTAACATTTTGGTACTACTTTATTAGTTTCCTTTTTTTTAATATTTAAGGCTGTATTCTTTTTTTTTTTTTAATGTTTTTATTTAGTGTTTATTTTGAGAAAGAGAGACCGCAGCACATGAGCAGGGGAGGAGCATAAAGAGGAGAAAGAGAATCCCAAGCAGGCTCCGTGCTGTTGAAATGGAGCCTGACTCAGTGCTTGATCTCATGAACCATGACCTGAACTGAAACCAAGAATCAGAGGCTTAACCAAGTGAGCCACCCAGGCGCCCCTTCTATCTTTTTTTTAATGGATGACTGATAAAATTTGAGCACTGTGCCTCTAATTCCCATTTCCCTCATAAGCCCTGTGATTTTTATTGCACCCTTTTATCTGGCACAGTGATTTTAAGAACTCCATGTGTTGGGTGGCTCAGTTGGCTGAGCATGACTATGGCTCAGGTCATGATCTCAAGGTTCAGGGGGGTCAAGCCCCACACTGGGCTCTGTGCTGACAGCTCAGAGCCTGACACCTGTTTTGGATTCTGTGTTTCCCTCTCTCTCTGCCCCTCCCGAGCTTGTGCTCTGTTTCTGTCAAAAATAAACACTAAAAAAAAATTTTTAATAAAAAAATCCACGTGTTTCATTATAGAAGAATTGACTGTACCTTGAAAGGAGTAAGCATACAATGCCCACTATTCTTACAATCAATCAAAGAGGAGTGCTACAGCTATCTATTGTAGGTGATAACAATCTATTTTGATTTGGTTCTGTTAAATGAGATGTTAAGTTTCTACATACAGATTCACCCTAACAAGGTGGAAAGATAAATTTAGATTACGACAGATTGATGAGGACCATGTGAAGCTACTGAGAAACTATGTAACCGTTTTCTAAGACTATGCTTTTAGAGAGTGGTATGCCAATTTCAAACGGTCAAATCAGGGCTGTGTAGTTAAAAGAATAACAGTAATGTTTCACTGTCGGACTTTAACAGACCTTTTGATTAGTGCCTTTAGAAAAACTACAAATACTGTACATTGCTTTGGTATGGTGATCTTAACTGTGACTGCAGAAATACAGTTGATCAGGAAAATATACAACTCAAAAGAATTCCAATCTTTGGCATTTTGCTAAGTGTCCAAATCATTTTTCTAGGTATGCATTTATCACATATGAATCATTCACATTTCAGTCTAGTGCACGAAAAAAGTCCTTATTTAGTCTGGAATTTTTTTTGAGAGAGAGAGAGAGAGAGAGAGACCTTGTGCATGCACATGGAAGAGGGTCAGAGAGATAATCCCAAGCAGGCTCCACACTGTCGGTGCAGACCTGACATGGGGCTCAAACTCACAAACCATGAGATCTGAAATCAAGAGTCATAAGCTTAACCGATTGAGCCACCCAGGTGTCCCTAGCCTGAAATTTTAAATAATAGTACTATTTTTCTCTAGTAAGCTTCTTCTTAGAAGCTACCTTATAAAAATTCTTGTTCAAAGTCTTCCAATCATAAAATGAACAGAATTCTTGCAAATAACTATTTGGAGATACTTACTTTAATTTTATCTGCTAAAGCTGATGTTATATGGATTTCTCTTTCTCCTTCATCATACATTTGAAAAATAAGATTATGCATAACATCGCCTGCTATCCAATTAACCTCATCCTGATGTTTGATCTGGATTGCCTTTTGTCCTTCCACACTGAATATCTGTAATCTTGCAACATGGCTACTAGGAAGCAGTTTAATAGTCTTCTCCACAGGTGCCACATCTTTACAACTCTAGGAAAAGAGAACAGAAAAATATACTGAATGACATCTGCACGTTCTGAAAACCATTCTGGGGCTTCAATGGTGATGAGTCTTTTACATTGCTTAAGAATTTATGTCCAATATTATGGAAGATCATCTTACCCACTGTTAATATTCATAGGTTTTGGAATTAAAAGCACACTATATCATTAATAATTCCTATTTTATACCATCAAGTTATAAATAATGACAGTAGCCACATTCTTAAAGCCAAAAACTAGAATACTTGGGACTTAAAAGGATTCTCTCTCCCTTATTTGTAATTACATGACAGATTCTTATGCTTAATAAGAATAAAAACACATGAAATTAAGAACTTCGCAAAAAATCAGAAAATAGCTGCCATAAAATACACTATTTATACTGAAGCAATACACTGAAACTAAGTGGTGAATAAGGCTGTTTATAGCTAAATAAGGACTTTCGATGCCATGAAGACTGAGCTGGCACATTTATATTACGGGCACATCAATTTTCCAGATATCCATACGGATAAACTGTATTACACTAAACTGATTTTAAAGGCATAAAAAATTAATATATTATATTCATTATTTCATAATCTGGGTCACAGTGCATTCCACAGGATATATAAAATTCAAAGTAAGTCTAATTCTAAAATACTTTTATAATCTTATGTAGACCACTTCTCCTTCCTCATCCAGTTGTGGTCATTCCTACCAAAGTACATCCACATGAATGATAACATATATAAAATTCCCACCTTACAGAGTATCACGCAAATAACAAATACATCCTCTATTATAAGCATATTACATTTACCTGATTCAAATTCAATAGTTACTGCCTTTGGATAACATTTTCTAACTGCATATCTAACTGATCTATATTTTTGGTCTTCTGCCTGCTGTTCTATAGTATTTATATAAATCCTAATGTTTGTTACTCTTTGCTTCCAAACCCAGATTCCTCCCAAACTGCAAGTCTTTTCTTCCTGATCTTCTGCAAGACAGTATGCTCAAAAGCTTGCTGCCCACATTACTGAACTTAAAAAACTGCGTAACAGATATTTGAAGGTTATCAATATAATCAGCTTATAAAAAAAAAAAGAGGAATGAAGTCAAGAGCCATCTCATTCTAGTGAAAACAACAAAGCCATATTTTACCCTTTTGTGGCTCAAAATATGTTAACTGATGTATAAGTAGTAGAAAAGCATCAATCAACTGGTTAATCATCACCTACCATATCAATAATGGAGAAAGCACATTGAAATATTTCACTTAAGTATCTACTGTCTTATTTTGCAACCTTAGGAGTTCAATTGCTTGCCCTCCTCCAGGCTGGCTTCACCTTCAGCCATGATGTACATCCAGTAATAAGTATCCTACTAGTACCATTACCTTAGAACTCTATTTGAAAATACTAACCATGTATTTACTTTTTAAATCATACATACAATTTATTTATATGTCTTTCAGTGGTTGTTTACCAAACTTTCTAAGAAACAAAAAAATAAAACTGACACACAAATACCACATTTTAATAGAAAAAATGTTAATTTTAAGAATATTAATCAGTAGCCATAGATATAAAAGGTTTAATCAAGAAAATTACTAATACAGATGAGCACTGAGTGTTATGTGGAAACTAATTTGACAATAAACTATTTGTAAAAAAAAAAAAAAAAAAAAGAAAATTACTAATACAAAATGTTACTCACTATACCATTTCATGTTTCCTTTTCTTCACTTTAGCTAAAAGAACCACAAATACCTCATTCTTAAGTGTCAAATGTTACTTAACGATATTATAAAACTATTAAAAATACTTGTATGAAAACAACATAATATCAATGAATAACAATAACAACTTACAGGTATTTCGATTTTTGCTTTCAGAGTCTGGTCTTTTTTAATGTTTTGCACTTGAATTGCAGATCCTGTTAAAATACTGGTTCCAGAACTGCTGCAGTCTACAACATAGACTGGAAGGTTTGGAGCACCTGAAAACTATTGGAAACATACAAAATAATTTTGAGACCCCAGTCAAATGTATCAAATCATTCAAAAACTATTAGTTCAATTTTCAAATAATTTCAAATACAGCTATTATCTCTGGCTATAAATTGGAAAAAGTGAAATAGAATTCACCAATACTCTACACAATTTCTGAATGAAAAGAGTAATTTTCTATAATTTATGTCTTCCAAAACACCAACTTCCTCAACTACCATACTTTTTTATTTTATCTATTTGGGTTTTCCTTTTTTTGTGTGTTTTTTATTTGTTTTCATTTGTCTACCCATCCCTAACCCTGAAAGATATTTTTATCATTCTATCCATAAATTAAATACGTCATCTAAACTGAGGGGAATGGACCAAGAAAGAATGGGTCCATTTATAGACGGAACAAATAAAGATGCTTTATCTAGAAGATTCTTTATGAAACTTGATATAGGTGACACCTTTATTGGCTTATAGATGCTGAAAGTACAGGCAATGAGATTCCCACAAATTTCTCCATGGAATAATCATTAAAGTCACACTATAAAGTACGTAAGCCAGTCAAGTCCACCGACTATCACAGGACTCAAAATAAAATCTACATATTCTTCTTATCCTACGGTAACTTACCTTACAATGAACAATCAATTTTGGCTGTGTTGTTATATTGTCTGATTCATCGAGAACTTCTACCTGAAATGGGAAAGCTGTTCCATTTTCTATAACTAAAATTTCAGAATCAGGTTTCACTTTCAATCGATGAGGGGGACCTACCAGAAAATTACATAATGAAATACAGATTCAAGGTTCTAAGATTGAAATACTGAAACAACAATAACAACAAAATCCTGTAAGATTTCAAGTTTTAAGATCTTAAAAATAAGGCCAAGAAAGAAAAAAAATAAGCAATGTCCGTGTTTAGCCATTTCTATCCCCAAAATGCAAAGATTCTATAAATGATCAGAGTTGTCTCAATTATATGTTTCAGGTCTAGACTTAGTTTTATGCAACAAGCTATAACATAATAATAATTAATGCTAGAAATTACCTAAAGGTGTAAAACCTTAAGGAGGTCCTGGAAAAAATTATTCCGGAAGAATTTTTTAAAATACTTTTACTCACTTTAACTTTACACAATGACTGATTTCTCAAAAACATGTTAAAATAACACATATTTGAGGTTAACAGTATTCAAAGAATGAGTTTATGTAATGATATAACCGGATAATTTACTTGTTTGATTGTCCACTACTTTGATGTTACAAGCAAGCTACAAGTTTCCTCTTAGATCAAAGAGAGTTCCTATTTTTGAAGCAAGATGACTTGATGTGCTCCATAAATACTGATAGTCTTAAATACAATTTATTCTAAATGCTGGTAACAAAAATTCACAAAAAACAGTTAATGAAAAACACACTAATGTTAGCAACATTATCTACTTTTTACTATATGCCAAGTAGTGTGTTAAATTTTAAGTATTATTTTCATATTCTTCACAATAATCTTGTAATCAAGAAGGCAATATATTATCCTCACTTTGTAAATGAGAAAACTGGAATCTAGAGAGATTAAGTATCCTGTCCAGGGCACATGACTAGTAAGCAGCAGACTCAGGTTTATTTTCTAAGTAATTTGAAACTTCTTGACCATTATCATTATACCATGCTATTTCCTACTTGACAATTTTCAATGTCAAATTCAAAAACAATGCCATACCATCTGGTTACTAAGAATTTCACTACCCAAATCTATACTCTTTAACCTTTAAAATAAAAGCATTGCAAGTGTTTATTAGCATGTTAACAACTTTTTAAAAAATAAGGTGTATGTGTGTGTATGCATGTAATCTCTACACTCAACATGGTGCTCAAACTCACAACCCTGAGATCAAGAGCCATATGCTCTTTGGAATGAACCAGCCAGATGTCCCAACAATTTCATTCTTATAGGTCTACCAATGTGCAAATTTTAACATCTTTATCAATTTATGCTTGAGGAAAGCATCAAACTATTTGTAAAAGGATGTAGCTAACCTATTTCTTTTCATTTAAAAATGGTACAAAGGGGGACACCTGGGTGGCTGAGTCAGTTGAACATCCGACTTCAGCTCAGGTCATGGTCTCACAGTTCGTGAGTTCGAGCCCTGTGCTAGGCTCTGTGCTAACAAGCAGCTCGGAGCCTGCTTCAGATTCTGTATCTCCTTCTCTCTCTCTCCCCCTCCCCTGCTCAGGCTCTGCCTCTCTCAAAAATACATAAATGTTAAAAAAAATTATTTTTTAACGTACAAAGGGTCATATGTGAATAAAGGTATGATAATACTATTAATAACTGAGCTAAAATTGACATACCAGTAACTGTTGTAGGTATTTTACAAGCACATGCAGCTCTCACTTTGCACGGTACCGTGTTAATGAGACGTCATGCATACTGAAATTGTGTCCTCCATTCAGGTACCACAAAATCTTGCAAAGTGAGGGTTGCCTATATTAATTCATTTAATCCTCACAACAACCCTGAGAAAGTAAATATCTCATTTTACACGTGAGGTATAAGACAAGTTTACCAAGCTCATAAATGTCACAGGTTGGATTCAAATCCAGAATGGCTAATAATACGAGAATGTACTCTCCTCAATCTATGACAGACTGCCTCTCAAATTAGCCAGCATTTCCTACCCTGTGTTACTTTCATGTAACTTCATTATCAAGTTGATAAATCATTATCAAATTAACAACATAAATTCATGAGAAACTTTTCTTTTTAAAAAAAAAATGAAACCTTTACAGTTGTATCAGGTCTGGCTCTAATATAACCCTAAGTAGTATATCTCTAAGAGTGGTTCCCTAATACATTTTCAGTATTCACTTGCTCCCAATTATTTTAGAACTTTAATAGTGTCTTCCTAAAGGTTTTCTTGTTTTTTTCAATTAGTCATTTCTATCAGTGCTATGTTTGACATTCAAATGTATTTTCAAACTCATACCATAACCAAAAATGACCTCATCTTATAAAATTATATCTTATAATATGAATATTACTTTAAAGGTAATTATTAGGAATATGTCTTAAAATATTACCTGGTAGTAATCTAATTTTTAAAATCTGTGTGTCTTCTTTTAAACCCGGCAGAATAACCTTCAAATTAAAATTCTGTTGACAAAAAATTATTTCAATTAAATCCAAGTCCTATATAGCTCAGTAGTTTATTATCTCAGTTCTGACTTTTGCTTTCATTTCCATAACATTACAGAAATCTATTCAGCAAATTTACACTAAAATTATCGCTTATGTAAGAGATACAGGTGAAAAAATTAACTTGTACTGCTTCTTTAAAGATACCAGCTTCTAAGGATGCCTGGGTGGCTCAGTCAGTTAAGACACTAATTCAAAAGGAATAACCTCTGAATAATCAGAATCAAAATGGGGATTATAAAAAATACAGAAAATAGTTAAGTGTAAAATACCAAAAAAGAAATCTCTAAATGCAATGTAGTATTCTGGATTAGATCCTGTAAAAGAAAACTAATAATAGTAAAGACAAAACAGAACAAAAAACTAGTAAAATGTGAATAAGGTCCACAGTATTGTTCCTAGTGTTGTACCAATGTTAACTTTGTAGAATACATAAATACACGCTGATTACATAAGATTAATAGAGGAAAGTGGGTAAAGAGCATATGCAAACTCTCTGTACTATCTTTCCAACTCTTCTGTAAATACAAAGTTTTCTCAAAAAACTTTTAAAAAATCTAAAAATCATTTTAGTTTTTTTGGTGAGCTTATCCCACTGAAGTCAAATTTCCCTGATTTTCAAGTTCTTCTTCCAGGAAACTCTGGATTCCAAAAGATGTACAGAACTTGACCTTTAATTCGATTTGACTATATAGTGCAGTATAGTATAAAGTATTTAAAGACATTCACATGCTCTATGTTAAACACCATTTTGACAGAAAAATTTTAAATACACACTGTAAGTTAATGATGCAGTGAAAAAAAAGCTATATATTACTTTCTTTAGCCCATAGTATTCCCTTTAGTCATGTAAATCTACTAGCTGCTTTATTTATTACCTTACTGGAATTTATACTTTTAACTTTCCTAACCTGATCCCTCCCCAAACACTTTTCTTTATCCAAATACCAAACCCAATATGTTCATAAATGTCAGCTGAAGTTTCTCATACTTGTGTTCTAAAAAGTTGTAGAGAAAAAAAAAACCACAGTAATGCGTAACTGTTGAAAAAATGACTTTGAATATCAAAAGACAGGAATGAAGATGAAGACAGTTGAAAAATATCTAATTCACTGTTAAACAGCAATAAGCATGCTAGTTTTTCATGGTGATGTAAATGCTAAGTTCAGTGAAACAATCCCAATTAAATCTTAGGAACACCATATTGTCATCATCCTCTCACAAGTAAACGTTATTCAATTTGAAATTTTCCATTTCATTTCTATAATACAAGAAATAAACATGTATTATAATATTTAAGTACAATGCTTACCTTGCCTTGACAAGAGTTTACAAGGCCCCTGGCTGTAACACCTCGAATTACACAATTTGGTCCTTTGGTTATTTCTTCATAATGCAAAGATAAACCACTGGAAAAAAATAAATTATTTTTTAACTTCCCCTCCATAACCTACAAAGAAGCTATAAACATGTTACTTGCTCATATGCCATTCTCATGTCTAATTCACTTTTCTAATAAAATATTATTTTAAAAAATAGAATAAATAGTTCAGCCAAAGAAAATTCCCAAGAACTTCTTTTCTAAAGCAAAATGATCCAGGGTGCCTGGGTGGTTCAGTCGGTTAAGCATCCAACTTTAGCTCAGGTCATGATCTCATGGTTCGTGAGCTCAAGCCCCACATCAGGCTGTGCTGACACCTCAGAGCCTGGAGCCTGCTTCAGATTCTGTGTCTCCCTCTCTCTGCCCCTCCCCCCCACCTCTCTCTCTCTCTCAAAAATAAACATAAAAGAAAAAGAAACATGATCCATAAGTGATAGCACTGAGCCATACACTGTAAATGATAAATTATAAAATGTAAACCATCCTTTATCAAATAAGATACAAAGCAGGAAATCAACAAATACTAGACCACGTATACAAGTCTACAAAAAGGAAATGTTCAAATAGGCCAATCTTAGGGACGTCTTCAGACCTTGCCATATATGTTTTTCAATGCTTTCACCCAGTGAGATGTTAGAAAATTTCTGGAATTTATTTTTTTATATATATTTTTTTGACATTTGAGAGAGAGAGCAAGTGAGAGCAAGAGCAAGAGAGCGTGAGAGCAATAGTGAAAAGAGGAAGGGCACAGAGAGAGGGAGAGAGAGAATCTCAAGTAGGCTCCATGCTGCTAGCGCAGAGCCCAATGCAGGGCTCAATCCCACTACCTTGGGATTATGACCTGAGCCGCTATCAAGAGCCGGACATTCAACCAACTGAGCCACCCAGGTGCCCCATATGGCACTTATTAAATTGAATAGCAATTTTAGATAAAGTCCAAATAATCAAGTACAGTCTTATGATGTAACCTTATTAGAATATATACTGAGATTCCCTAAATCCTTCCTAAATCATCTTTGACCATATGTAGGTCCTTATGTTGTAAACCTTTTGGTAAGATGAAGGAATAAAAGGAAAAAATACAACTTAATATTTAAAACTTAGAAAAAGCCTAAGTTTTCTGAAAAATAGAACTTAAATATTTACAGGTATTATGTGGATAAGTTACAACAATTAAATAACATGCCTTGTTTGAAAAAAGCTATAAAGTAACATCTAAGATAAAAACAGACTCCCTGGGAAAAATGGACATTAAACATACATGTCTGCTTTCACTCTCTCTCAAATCTCTAATTTGAGAACAAAAGGACTTTTTTTGTTTACCGTTAAAAAGCTAAGCAAAGGAAGGAAAGGAAAAGACAAGGATGATAAAATTCATCTCCCAGAATACAAGACTTAGTAGTTCCCCAAGAAATCTTAACCTTAAAAAAGTGATGGAAAAGGCTAGAAAACTATGACCCAGAATTTCTACATACAACTCTGGGACTGGTAAGAGAAAGGTGGGAAAAAAGATTGATGAAAATTTGGATCCCCAGCTCTCCCCTCTTGGTCTCTGGCAGATGACTAGAAGATTAATCTCTGAAAAGGCTAAAACAGAGAATCTCTATATGGGTGGGGGTGGAGGGGTAGATAAACAAAAGATAGGATAAAATACTATAAAGTATAGAAGAAGTAATCCTGAATGAATGCATAAAGATGCTGAACCTTCCCAACCGTATTCCCAACCCAGCCTGTTCTTGGACTGGCTAGGAACCTGGACAGCCAAACTATTCCCTCCGGTCAAGAGACTAAATATTTCTTAGAGAAAACTGCCTCGCCCAAGAAAAAGACCTGAAGATACTGACAACAGGATATTCCCCCAATAAAGCATTACAGACATATCATCCTATGGTGAAGTTCATAGTCAACAGCTTCTCCCACATTCTCAGTTTCCTTATCTGCACTTTAGTCATTAAGTTATAAGCAGAAAACCAAAGACTACCAAGTATCTGAAGAAGTAAAAAACCAACAAACAAAAAACAGCTAACTTGGAGAAACAGATTTTGTGTATGTAAACTTTTTAAAGAAAAAACTATCATGTATCAGTGAAAAAATGTATTACATTTATAAAACAAGATCCACAAAATATTTCAGAGAACAAAGAAAAACTCTTGGAAATTAAAAATAGAGCAGAAAGGAGGGTGCCTGGGTGGCTCAGTCAGTTAAGAGCGTCCGACTCTTGATTTCAGCTCAGGGTTCGTGGGTTCAAGCCCAACACGGGGCTCTGAGCTGACAGCAACAAGCCTGCTTGGGATTCCCCTTCCTCCCTCCTCTCTCCTCCTCCCTCTCCTTCTCCTTCTCTCTCTTCTCTCTCTCTCTCAAAAAATAATCTTAAAAAAATAAAGCAGAAAGGAAAAATTCAACAGAAAGGTTATAATGTTGAAAAAATATGTCAGAAAGCAGAAACACAAACATAAGAAAAATTGGGAAAATCAGAGAAGCAGTCCAGAAGGTACATTACCAAAACATAAAGATCCCAGAAAGAAAAAACAATAATGATGGAAAGTAGAGAATGAAGTATTTTACATAATATAGAGACCTATGCAAAGATGTATTACTATAAAATTTTGCCATGTTGAGACTTAAAAGTAGATCCTATAAGCTTTCATAAAAAATACACAGAAAACACAAAAATGAAAATTAATAAAAGTTTAAAATATCAACGGTGGAAGTTAAAAAGCAAAAATGGAGCAATGCTTTCATAATTTTTTTGTAATTTTTTTAACGTTTATTTTTGAGAGAGAGAGAGAACACAAGCAGGGATGAGGCAGAGAGAGAGGAGGAAACACAGAATCTAAAACAGGCTCCAAGCTCTAAGCAGTCAGCACAAAGCCCAATGTGGGGCTCGAATTCACCAACCATGAGATCATTACCTGAGCTGAAGGTGGACGCTTACCTGATTGAGCCACCCAGGTGCCCCAATACTTTCATAATTTTGAGGAAAACAGTGTCCAATTTTCAATTCAATCAAGTAGAATAGAGACATTTTTGAGAAATAATTGTCTCTTATATACACTCCTTCACCGGAACCTAGTGTTTCAGCAAAAGAGGAACATGGGAATCTTCTAAAAAAACTGGAGAGCCATGAAACAATAAATGCTAAATAAAATCAACCACGTAACATCTCACAATTTGGGAATGTTTCCTCAGGGACTTGAGAGACAACTCTCTACACTGTAATCATCAAAGAAAAGTAAAACTCCCTATCTCCCAATTTTCTAAGCTTAAGTTATAGTCAGCTGACTCCAAATTGCAAATCCTACAGCCAATGATAAACATACTGCGTTATTTCATGTTTAGAACATGAATGTGTAAGTTATAGCCACTTGTCTATATAAGGAGTAAGGTTTTCTTCAGTCTTTGCAATCTCTTTATCCAACTGCCTGTGATAATCATGAAATTCTGGTTTAATGTTTAGTCAATAATGAAATTGTTTTCTTTCTCTTCCACCTTTATGAAGACATTTTCTAGTTTATAAGGATAGGATGGAACTATAATCAATAATAGGTGTCAAATAATGCACTAATATTTTTCATTTGTGACTAGATGGGATAATTTTTAGCATTTATTTTTAAACTAACACATTTAAGTTATTCTTTTGTTACTGTTTAATATTCAACTAGATGCAGTAAGTCAAAAGACAAGCATCACTTTTTACACCTTAAGAGAACATAAAACTAAAAACACCCATTTTGAATATTTTTATAACTATATATTATTTTTCAAGAACTTAACAATGTGAACTTGAAGAAGGCAAATACTATGTCCTTATTCACCTCTACATGTCAGCTAGCAAATGCCTACAATATAGCAAATACTCAGATGACTAAGAGTGAACAATTACAACACAAGGGGAAAAAAGTACATAGAGACAACAAAAGAAAGTATATATAAAAAGTGGGATCAAAAAGACAAATAAGGCAGCTGATGCAAAAAAGAAACACTTAGCATTCATGCTCTTGAGAATGAACAAGACTTTCTCCCAAGGCACCTTAAAAAGAGATAATGGAAAATAATGAACATCCTCAATCATAACATTGGACAGTCTTATTCTGATTTCTTATTATAAGCCAATCACAACACTAAAGAACTATTAAATAGAGGTAAATTCTAAGGAAAGACTCAAATTTCCATGGAAACCATAAACTTTATGGCTATATTTTTAAAAAATAAACTGTATTACCAGGTTAAAAACCTTCTAAACGATAGCACTAAGTTTAAGTAGCAATAACTTTCTATCATACTTGCAGAATAAAATGGAGTAAGACAGAGCTATCAGTCTCACCTAAACAACTTTGACAGTAATTTCAGTCAAAACATAAACTTTAGTAAAGCAATTTATAATGACACTATAGCAACAAAGCATAGCGTAGGAATAAACAAATCCCCCAGATATCATGAAATACACTATATACTCTAAATGATAAACCTAAAGTCAAATATACACAAATAAAAAAAAAAAAAAGAGGCTGAATGCTTAGTAACTATGAAAAATCACATACAAAATGATCCTTCAAATTACCTTGCTTCAAAAACTGGCTGAATATCATTTCCTAGTTGACTAGTATGACCAAATTCATCCTGAAACTCCAGAGGGATATTGAATGGGACTCCAACACGGAAAGGAGGATCCATAAGACCAAATGAAAACTTCTCTGGTTTACCCTCTTTAAAAAAAAAAAAAAGAGAAGAAAAAAATAAACATGAGAAGCAAATTCATAGGTCAGAAACAGCCATATTGTATATTCAGGATATTAAATTATGACAAAGATGGCATTTTAAATCTGTGAAAAACATAAATTAAATATAATGTTTTTTAAAGTTTATTCATTTTGGGAGGAGAGGGAGAGACAGGAGAAAAGAGGAAAGGGGAGGGAGGGAGGGAGGGAGGGAGGGACGGAGAGAGAGATTTCCAAACAGGCTCTGTGCTAAAAACCATGAGATCATGACCCAAACTGAAACCAAGAGCCGGAATCTCAACAAACTGAGCCACCTAGGTCTCCTACATAAATAATACCTATAAGCCTCATAGGAAGAGTCAGATCTTTATCTCAATATATATAAAAGTAAAATTCTATAGGTAGAAAAACATGTTTTTAAACTAAGAAATTATTAGAATATAATGAAGAATAAGTTTATAATCTTATCATAGGAGAAACTAAGGCTAAACACAATATCCCTCCTCAACTTTGGTTAACTGTAGTGCAGAGACCAATGATCCCACCTCTGACATAGTGCTAGAAGGTCAACAGTAGCCTAAAGCTATATTACAATTCCTAGGTCATTTACCTCACTTCATCTCATCACAGACATTTTATCATCTCATGACACAGGCATTTTATTGTCTCACATCAACACAAGAATAGTGAGTAGAGTAGCATAATAAGATATTTTAAGAAAAAAGGACCACATTCACATAATTTCTATTACTATATTTTTATAATTGTTCTATTTCATTATTATTGTCCCTAAATTATAAATTGAACTTTATTATCAGTATGTATACATAGAAAAAAATAATACATATAGGATTTGGTACTATCTACAATTTCAAGAAATCCACTGGTGGTGGTACAACATATCTGCAGCACACAAGAGGGACTACTGTACTCAAAAACATGAAAGAATGTTTTTGACAAAATACATCTTATTAGTTACAATAAACAAAGCCTGGAGCCTGATGTGGGACTCAGTCTCATGATGGGGAGATCATGATCTGAGCTGAAATTTAGAGTCAGACACTTAACTGATAGAGCCATGCAGGCACACCTATAAAGCCATTTTAAGATCATGATGATTACACAATTGGCCAAACATCTTTTACTGATTATTTATCTATTCTCCCTTTATTTAAAATGCTGTCTTCAGCATAACATGAGCTATATATTGGTATTACACTTACCTTTAACAGAAAACTTAATTGCTTTCGACGGTAGCGGTCTTCCTGCATAAGTGTCTGCATTACTTTCATTCAGTACAACTTGTAATTTCAATGTATAATTCCCCAACTTTTGAATATTTTCTGGACAAATAAAGAAGACATTAAAAATCAAGTCAACATAATACTGACATAATTTTTAATATTCAGAATAATAACTCACCCATTTTTTTAAACCAGTAAGGCCATTTTCCTCCATGTTGACTAATATGTGAAATGATTTCTTTATTTCCATTTGAAGCTTAATAAAAGAAAAAAGAAATATTTATACCTTCAGAAATTGAATACAGAACATGAATATGAAATGTCACACTGGTATCAATACCTTTATATATTTTTAAACTGTTCTGAAACTTCATCAAGGGATCTAAAGTTATCTTATGCAAGAAAACAGCACAATGAAAATTAGCTCAGTAAAACATCTTTATTTCAATTCTTAAAAATATATCTGTAAATAAGATTAACTGGTACAAAAGAGATATTTTTCTTTTGATATTAAAAATAATTTTCCTTAAGAGTTTTCACGATTAAAATATCAGATATTGTTTATGTAAAATAACTGCTAAGACCTAGTGACCTATTGTTTTTTTTAAATATTTTTTTAATGTTTTTATTTTATTTCTGAGAGAGACACAGTGTGAGCAGGGGAGGGTTAGAGAGAGAAGGAGACACAGAATCTGAAGCAGACTCCAGGCTCTGAGCTAGCTGTCAGCACAGAGCCCAATGTGGGGCTTGAACCCACGAACTGTGAGATCATGACCTGAGCTGAAGTCGGACACTTAACCAACTGAGCCACCCAGGTGCCCCTGACCTATTGTTAAGAGAAGTAAAAGCATATATACAAAATATACATTTTTAGAAGGAAGAGAAATAAATATAAAAATATTGATGCTCAGACTAAAAAAACAATGGACCTGAATGACACATTGGACCAGATGGATCTGACAGATAGATTTAGAACTCTACATCCTGAGGCCAGGGAATTCACTTTCTTCTCAAGTGCGCATGGCACATTCTCCAAGATAGATCACATACTGGGTTCATATAAAGCAGCCCTCAATAAATATAAAAGAATTGAGATCATAGCATGCACACTTTCAGATCATAATGCTTTGAAATTTGAAATCAATCACAGGAAGAAGTCTGGAAAACCCCCAAAAACATGAAAGCTAAAGAACACCCTACTAAAGAATGAATGGGACAATCAGGCAATTAGAGAAGAAATTAAAAAATATACGCAAACAAATGAAAATGAAAATACAACAATCCAAACTCTATGGGATGCGGCAAAGGCAGTCCTAAGAGGAAAGTACACTGTACTCCAGGCCTATTTCAAGAAATTAGAAAAAGCGCCAAGTGCAAAATCTAACAGCACACCTAAAGAAACTAGAGGCAGAGCAACAAGAGCACCCCAAACCCGTGGGGTTTGTGGCAAACCATGAGAGGCTCTTGAATGCTGAGAATAAACTGAGGACTGATGGGTGTGGTGGGGTGGTGGGAAGAGATGGGCATGGAGGAGGGCACTTGTGGGGATGAGCACTGGGTGTTATATGGAAACCAACTTGACAAAAAACTGCTTGTAAAAAAAATATATATTGTTGCTCAGTATTAAAGCAGGAAACACAGGAAAGATAAGCCAAAAACTAATAAAATTAGTATCTAAAGGAGGAAAAAAACAGAGTAGAGTGATGACATAACCTCTCTGAGGATTTATTTCTAACTTTGAAATTATGTAAATGACTTAAATTATTAAAAAAAAGCATTAAAATACAGCAATTCATAAACAAAACCAAAGTGTGTATTAACGAGGTGACCTAACTACATTTAAAAAGAATATTTCAAGTGACTTTAGAATCATTTTTACTATTTACACAGAAAAAGATTTTAAGGATAGAGCAAAAAAGTCAAATTTAATTCAAGTCTTATTATTAATTATATTAGTATTATTATTTTGAAATGAAACATAGGATAAAGCATATAACCATTAATGTTAAGAAATCCAGATTTTCAGCAGTAAAGAAATGAAATAAAAGCATAAAGTCAAATTAGTTAAATAAAAAACCAAAATGTCAATGCGAATTCAGTTCTTCTTTTCTTTTCAAAAATGTTCACATGAGCTATCAAAAAGCTTAAAAGCAATTTTACCCGGGGGCAACGAGCAAACCTAACACTCAGATTGTGGCCTCTAAACACTATTCCCCACAGAAAGGAACCAGCAGTTATGGCTGAAATCACATCTAGGATAGAACATATATAACAACGTTCTAGGATATCTTGAGCCAGAAAGCAAAAAAGCTCACATCAAAGACAAAAAGGTCACATAAACACGAAGAGCCAACATGAAGGCACATCAAAATGAACAAATCATCTTAAATATAGAAAACCCCATAAACTCACAAAAACACTACCAAAAAACAAAAACTGCTCATGGGCATTATTGTACAGCACCAATTCTTAACTGGTAATTTGTAATTAAAGAATAAGAATTACACTTTTTACTGCCTTTCCTGTAAATGCTGCATTAGAGGTAAACCAATGACACTAACTGGTAAAATTTCTTCACCAATGAATTCTGGATAACAAATTAGGACAGAATGAATGAATCATAAAAAAATTATCTATAATAACTAATTCACCAAAGAATTAATTCAAGGAAAATCAACAACAAATGAGACTATTACATAATGGTTGAAAGAGAAATATAATCAAATTAGCCTTGTGAATTCAATGCTCCATTAGCAGCACTTAAAGTAGAACAATTAGATATCATATGCCTCTGAATATGTAATACCATAAGAAATTCAAATTAGGTATAAAGTATTGATTCTTACTTTACAAAACAAAAATATGAGGAACCCAAATGTATTCAATCTTTTAGGCCTATCTTTCAGTTTTCTGGCAATTGAACAAATAGGAAAAGTAGTTAAATGACATCCCAAAGGAACAAAAACAGAAATCTGCAAAACACACTTCAAAGTGATTGAGTTCTGTCAGCAAGTAACTGGCATGAAGAAAAAAGGAGAGAGCTCTACTTTGAAAAAAAAAAAGGAACTGAAGACATAGAATAAATGTAATACATGTGTCTGATACCAAAAACAATCACATTTTTAAAAATCAGAGAAATTTAAGTTGAATGCGTTATTAGATAATAAAAAAGAATTAGTATGATAAATGAAATTACACATTTTTTAAAGATGCATGTAATTGAGATTCAACACACACACACGAAGCAAGTAAAACCAAATACTTCCTATTGATTTAGGTTAACCAATAATATATCTTGGGGCCCATTACATAATTCTTTTCTGTTTTATTCATAATAAATTTAATTTTTAAATGTCAGAGCTATAAATTTGTAATGAATATTAGACAGTAAACCATTAGAGTTCTCTAAAAATGACCAAGCAACCTTCTGATATCTTTTTTACAAAAATTTAATAATTACTGCTTGTTTACTAGGCACTAGAAAAAAGGGAAGAAAACCAGCAATATGCTTGCTTTCATGGAATTTCCATCTTGTATGTCAGGGTGTCTGCAAACTACTTTATTGCCCATGGCTGCTTTCATTCTAGAATAGCAGTTAGGTAGCTGTGACAAAGAATTTAGAGCCCTCAAAGCCAAAGTATTTATACTGATCCATTAGAAATAATTTGCACCTCTGTTACAGACAGCAAAGGCACATTTAAGAAATAACAAAACACCAAGTTATACAAATAAATCTAAGTATATTAGTATAAAACTAGTAAACTAGAAAAAAGTCTATGATTTTTATTACAAGCCTAAGACAGTGACAATCTGAAACCTGAGAAGAGTTTTATCAAAGATCTGCTGTTTAGGGGAGCCTCGGTGGCTCAGCTGGTTAAATATCTGACCCTTGATTTAAACTCAGGTCATGATCCAACGGTTTGTAATATCGACCCCCCACCTTGGGCTCTGCACTCTCTGCTTGGGATTCCTTCTTCCCTCTCTCTCTTCCCCTGCCTTTTCTTGGTCTCTCTCAAAACAAACAAGCATTTATAAACAAACAAATAATATGAAAAATTGCTGTTTAAAAGTTGCAAGCAGAGGAAATACAAAGGTCCAGAGGTGGGGAAAACTGGGCTTGTATGGGAACAAAAAGAATTGATTAGGAATACAGTGAGGATGAAAATATCAGAAATAAGGTTGAACAGGAAGACAAGGCCAGATCATATGTGAAGTCCTGCAGAATTATGAAAAGCCAAAAACTACCATTATATTTAGAAATGAAAGTCTAAAAGCTTTCCCTCCGAGATCAGGAAAAAGACAAGGATGCCTGCTTTCACCACATCCATTCAACATGGTATTGGAACCTAGCCAGATCAATTAGAGAAAAAGAAAATCCATTTTGTAAAGGAAGAAGTAAAATTATCAATGTTTGTAGATGACGCAATCTTTTCAATTTTTCTTAATGTTTAGTTTTGAGAGATAATGCAAGTGGGGAAGAGACGGGTGGGGGGGGGACAACAAAGGATGTGATGTGGGCTCTGTGCTGACACAGCAGAAAGCTCAATACGTTAGGCTCCAACTCACGAACACAAGATCATGACCTGAGCTGAAGTTCAACACTTAACCAACTGAGCCACCCAGGTGACCCAATGACACGTCTTCTATGTACAAAGCCCTCAAGATTCCACAAAAAATTGTTTACAGCCAGTAAATAAATTCAGCACACATGGATGATACAAAATCATGTTCATGTATTGTTAAGATGATAATAATACCCAATGACCTATAGATTCAGTAATAATCCCCATCAAAACCCCAATATCACTTTTTGCAGAAATAGGAAACCCAAGCTAAATTTAGATGTAATCTCAAGAGACCCAAACGGCCAAAAAACAATCTTAAGAAAAATAAAGTTGGAGAATTCACATTTCCATTTAAAGGTTACTACAGAACTATAGTTATCAAAACAGTGTGGTACTGGCTTAAGAGCAGACATATAGACCAATGAAACAGAATAGAAAGCTCAGAAATAACACCTTGAATATATGGTCAAATGATTTTGACAAGAATGCCAAGACCATTCAATGGAGAAAAAATAGTGTTTCTGATTATTGGTGCTATGAAAACTGGATATCTACATGCAAAAGAAGCTAATCTATATAAATTAAACTCAAAATAAATCAAATAACTAAAAGTAAGAGCTAAAATGATAAAACTAATCTTATACACAAACATTCAAGAAAAAGTTTCCTGACTAGATTTCACAGTGACTTCTTGGGTAGGACATCAAAAGCAAAGGCAACAAAAGCAAAAAACAGAAAAATTGGACATTATCAGAATTAAAACATATTCTGCATCAAAAAACCCAATCAATAGGGTAAGAAGGCATTCCACAGAATGAAGAGAAAATATGTGCAAATTATACAGTATCTGATAAGGATTATTCAAATACAAAGAACTCTTACAACTCAAAAACAACAGAATTTAAAAATGAGTGAAGGACCTGAATAGACTTCTCTCCAAAAAAGATATGGAGGTGATCAATAAGCACACAAAAAGATGCTCAGTTTCACTCATCATTAGGGGAATGCAAATCAAAACCACAAAATACCACTTCACACCAATTAGGATGCCTTTTATCAAACAAACAGAAAAAAAAAACGGGAAATTGATATGTGTTAGCAAGGATGTGGAATGTAAAATGGTGTAGCCACTGTGAAGAAGAGTATGACAGTTCCTCAAAAAGTAATACATTAGAATTAGCATATGATCTAGCAATTCTACATCTGAGTATATGCAAGAGAATTGAAATCAAGGACTCAGACATTTGCATACCAATGTTCACAGCGACATTATTCACAATAGCTAATGCATGAGAGCAACCTAAGTCTCCATCAATGAATGAATGGATAAGCTAAATGTGGTACACATACATACAACAGAATATGATTTCACTTATTTGATTCCACTTACTGAGACTCCCAAAATAGTCATAATCACAGAGACACAAAGTATAACAATTACCAGGAGATGTGGGGAGGGAGTGATGGGAAATTATTACCACATAGAGTTTTAGTTTGGGTCAAAAAAAAAGTTCTAGAGATGGACAGTGGTAATGGTTGTACAACAATATAAATGTATTTAATGTCACTGAACTGTGTATTTTTAAAAGGTTAAAATGATAAACTTATATATGTTTTAATGTAATAAAAAATATTTTTGGTTGGAAAAAATATATGGGAAGGGGGTGAGCAGGAGAGTCAGAGTCACAGAAAGACTGGAGGATGCTCTGCTGAGCCAAAAGCCACAGAATGTGGGCAGATTCTAGAAAAATTAAAAGGCAAGGCTGCCCTAAAGCCTCCAGAAGGATGCAATCTTGCTGACACTTTGATTTTAGCCAGTGAACCCCATCTGGGATGTATGTATGTACAGAATCCTAATAAATGGGGTGTGGGGGGATTGGAGAAATGTGGTATAGGGTGTCACAAAGGTAAAAAATCAGAGTATTTCAGTAAAATAAGTTAGTCAAACTGTTCAATGCTGAGAGACCTAAGAAGACATTTATACAGTCAAAGTATATATGACCACATACTGGTTTTTAAATTGTTGGATATACACATATATCAAAGAAAATACTGTTGTCTTCAAAATCCACGGACGAGACATACAAGTATATAGTGATAGAACAGATTCTTAAACATAAGTGAAAATATTTTTAGGCAATCAAGAAAGAAACAATGAACAAGAAACAAGATGATTCCAATTAGGGAAATATAAGACAAGCAAGAATACCCAGTTCTTCTCCTGTCACCAGGCCTATAATCTAAACCAAGTACTTCTAGCCCACAGGTTCAGAGCCATAGTTCTTTGATTTACAACAAATTTTAACAATTATCTAATCTGAATTCCTATCTAGTACAAATTCCTATACACACATACATCATATCTTATTTTAGCCCACAGTCACCTACTTGGGAAAACTCAGAATAAAAGGTAAAAAAAAAAAAAAAAAAACAGGGCACTTGGGTGTTGGGTGGTTCAGTTGGCTAAGCAACAGATTCTTGGTTTTGGCTCAGGTCATGATCTCCTGGTTCATGAGTTCATGGTTCATGAGTTCGAGCCCTGCATTGGGCTCCACACTGAGCGTGCAGAGCCTGCTTGGGATTCTCTCTCTGCGCCTCCCTTGTTCCTGCTCGCTCACTCACTCCCCCAAAATAAATAAATAAACTTAAAAAAAAAAACTTAAGGAAGGGGCGCCTGGGTGGCTCAGTCAGTTAAGCATCTGACTTCGGCTCAGGTCATGATCTCACGGTTCATGGATTCGAGACCCGCATCTGGCTCTGTGCTGACAGCTAGCTCAGAGTCTCGAGCCTGCTTCAGATTCTGCACCTCCCTCTCTTTCTGACCCTCCCTTGCTCATGCTGATAAAACATTAAAAAAAAAAAAAAACCTTAAAAAAAAAACCAATTAAAAATATTAGTCATTAACACAATTGAAATTCCTAACTTTAATAAAATCTACTGTGTCTCTCAGATTGTTCGGTCATCGATAATTATATGTAGATATTAAAACCTGCATTACACATTTAAGAACAAATATTAAAGATCCAAATTAATTTGCATACTTACAATGCAATATAACTTTGAGCTCAACCAGGAGTTTCTTTGACCCTCCATGACTTGTTCCTGGAAGTTTCTGCATTGCTTCCCCCTTTTTATTCAGTATTTCAATTCTTAATGCACCTATCAGTCCAAAATTTAAAGTAAGAATGTCTTAGTTACACTAAAAAATGTGATGAGTCTGCTAGGTCTTAACACAGCATTTTAATTTATCATGGTCTTTTACATATTAAATATGTACGGCACACAAAAAGGGTATTTTCAGTATTAAGGGAAAAAAAACACATACCAATGGGGGTTCCAGCAGGCCTAATCTCATTTGGCAATAATTCATCTCCTTCAGGCCAAGTTACTGACAATCTATCAGGGAGCCTATTATGAAACCAGCATATTAATGTTTCATGAACTATGTTAATTATGGTTCTTAGATAAATAGAAGTCACTAAAAACTGTAATATTTATTTGATATAATATTTTGAAAGGCCAATGTTAAAATTCTACATGATTAATAATCTAAAAAATTTTCCCTTCCTAACCATTACTGTGGTTACTGAAACATTAATACAAAATCTCTTGGTATTAAGAGCCAAGAATTATCAATATTGGGTGGGAGGGTGTGCTCTGCTCTTTTATAGTACAAGTTACCTTTGGTAATAAACTCTATGAATAAAATTACTGGTGAAATTCAGTAAGAATCAAAATGACTGCATCATTAGCCAAACAAGAGCTACAGTTCTGTCTTTCTACTTTCCTTTACTTCTTTGGTACTAATCTTTATCTCTCAACAGTTAGGACGACTTTCTTCTAATTGCAGGTCAAACCAAGTTGTTTTCTAACATACCTGAGTCATAGCACCTAAAACAGTGACACATTAGATATATAAAATTTCCTCCTTTTTCTACAAAATGCAGGATTCTATTTTACAATCAAAGCTCTCAATTTTCTTTAACAGCAAGAAGTTCATCACAATGCATACACCTAAGAGTACCAATGTCCTATTATGTGTCCATAACAACACACTCAAGAATAATTAAAAGCACTATGATTCATTTTTTATTTTCTTGTTACTCTTATCCTACATTCTGAAATGTGAATTACCTTGCCATTTCATCTTCTACATATTTTTTCACAGCTTTCTCAGCAACTGTCCTATCAAGCTTTGCAATTGGCACAGTTTTTACTTCATCATACAGTGCTTGAGGTTCCTGAATAATTTACATCAACATTTCAAAAAAAAATTATTCAAATTTGACAACAATGAAAACACTTGTTTATCTTAAAAAAACATTTTACCCTAATTAAATATATAAGTCATAATAGCTATTATTACATTATACCACAATGCTTTTTCTATTTTTCATGTAACCTCCTTAAATATAATTAAATACCACTCAAATATTAATAAGAATATAGTATAAGGATAAAGCCCATTCTTGTTTTGGATTTATTCATCTTTGAGAAAGAATCCTGGCTCCAATTTTTACTAGTTTGTGGACCTTGGACAAAATGTGCACTCTACAAAATTACTTTGAAAACTAGAAATAACATATGTATGTTTGTTAAACACTGGACATACAGATGTTAAGCTCTACAGATTATTGAAAACACCAAATAAGAAACATAAAAATTCATGCTAACACTAATGTGTCCAACAGAAAACCAAACGCAAGCAGAAAATACAATACTGTATCTTTATTTCAGGATTAAACAAAAATAAGCAGTACCAAGACTTCCAATAAAAATATTTTATTACTTGCTATCTTACCATTGCAATCTGAACCTCTCCTCCTGTGGCATATACTTCTCCATCATGATCACCGTAAAGAAAAAATTTTACTATGCTTCCATAAAAGAGAGGAAGTGTCTTGACTGTCTTGACCTAATATTTAGTTTTAGAAAAAGGCTTTTAGTATTTATTAAAACAAGCTTAATATTCATAATCATAAAACTATTTCATTGAAAGGGAAAACTCATATCAGAAAAATTACTGACAAAAACATTCTAATAAAGTTGTATTTATTTATATTTGCTTATGTAAGTTTCCCACTTAACATATTTTTGTAAAGATACAGTGGCTTCTTCATACAAAAATGTCATAGTTATGCATATGCCTAAAAGGTCCATCATTCCTCCAAAGTCAATTATGAAGCCAAAGTACCTCAAACCCTTTTTCCCCTACAAAATCTTGCTTTCAGATTATGAACAGTGATTACAAACTGACAAGTTATTTCTTTCACATAAACTGGCTCAAAGCTTGCCTACGGGTACTCTTTTCCTTACTTGGCTTTAAAAATCTAAAGATAATTTTCATTAGTTCAATTCAGAAACTCCTGACAGGAACTACAAAAGTTTATACACAACCTACTTTTTCAGCCTCATTTCTAAACTATTTCCTTTCACACACAACATGTTGCAGGACAACCCAACTTTACTACTTGCTGTTTCATTGTACCTACATGTATTAGTGTCTGCATTCAGCCTGTGGTCTCTGAGAAAGCACCTTACTCAACCACCACAAAGAACTTGATAAAAAGATCACTTCCTCCCTGTAACTCAATGCTTGACTTCAGGGTTTCCTTCGATCTTTATCCCTTTCATTTTCCTTTGCCAGCACATCCTTTTCATCCTAACCCTCCTATATGCTGGAAAAGCCAGGCTCTTACTACACATACCACCTCTCTAGGTGATCACATCCAATTCCAACAATTCCAAGGCTTTAACTATAACATGATTCCTTTCCCATTACAGAGTGAATGGACACCCTTCAACGTTTGCTTTATCTGTATAAACATCCAACTCTTTACCTCTTTCAAGGTCCATACAAATGCCACTTCTTGCCCAAACAATGTCATGATTTGTTTTTCTCCCAGGACCAAAGTCAGCAAATACTCTCCCTCTCCCTCCAAACTGCTAAAACAGTATTCATCCTCTCTTTTCACAGCATTTGTTCTCTTATCTATTATTATTTATGTTTAGGTTATTTCCAATTTTAGACTGTAATGTCCCTACAGACAAAAGACCTCTCTCTCCTAGATCTCTTCGTTCTCTATAATGCAATCAACAAGCAGAGTTGCTTACAAGCAGCAGATACTCAACAAAAATTTAGTAAAAAAAAAAAAAAAAAAAAAAAAAATTAAAAACCAGAAACACTCATTACTTCATATCACATTAAAAGAAAAAAATTAAGACTCTCCATTTAAGTTTAGTGCAAGAAAAAAATTAAAAACCTTGCTAATAGATCTTTTGGGAAACAGGTTTTTTAGTAAGTGTCATGTTAAATTATGCAATTAAAATCAACTGATCTCTTCATTCTCTCCTGGCTCCTGAGGAGTCAATACATGCACAATTTTGTTGTTAAATTCTAATACATTTAATTTAATTTCAAATTCTATTCAAAACTGAATTCAAAAATAAGTTAAACCTACCAGCTGTCCTGCTTTGTATATTTTTCCATCCCATTCTATTGCTGAGTATGTTGCCCAGGGGCCCTGCTTTTTAGAAGGAAGATCAGGACGTGTAATTATTCCTTTAAAAGATGTAAATTTTATTTGTTTGTCATACTTCTCATGACAGTCCTTCAGCCATAAAGCAAATTCTCTATCAATTTTCATTCGCTGTTCCTGTAAAAAAAACAACTTTTAATGTTCTATGAAATATAGCTACTAGTAAACAAATACAACCATAGACACATCATTCATTCCTTTTATTCTTCCACATATCCCACCCTCAGAAAACCTAATAAAAAATTAAAATATTCTGCTGGAACTTTCTCCCAGACAAATTTATATTTCTAACAAAAGCATTACTAAAGAAAACAAATCATTGCTATCATCTTTGAAACCAAGGTCTCAATGGTCACTACCTACAACAAAGCTTCCCTTCCCTGGTATAAATCCTAGAGTACACCAAAAATGATGAACACTGGCTGCCTAGGAGAAAGAGAATTAGTTGGCTATGGGAAAGGGTAAGCAAAAAGCTCCTCACTGTGAACTATGCACATCCTCAATAAGGTGATAAGAATTTCTTTCCATTTATCAAGTATAAACATACACATACATATAGTAAACATAAATACAGTTTATCTATGGTATTAAAATATCACTGAGGGAAGTGATCAGGGGGAAAAAAGTCTAAAAAGCTCCTTATGAGGAGGATAATGACAAAAAAGGTTGAGAAACACTGCTATACTGAACACATTTTTCCTTTTACTTATTATGTACTATATCTATATATACATATATATAGTACCTATTCAAAAAAGTTAAAACATGAAATGAAAATGAAGTGTTCTCTAATATTAAAGAAATGTGTTTCTATTTACCATTCTTCACCCTGTTGGGAGATAGTATGGAAAGATTTATACTCAAGCATAAGCTGTTTAATGCCTGTCTTTAAGAAATTAGTAGGGGAAAAAACCCTCCACATTACATGCTTTCATAGAAGACAACACATGAAGTTAAATAAGTTCATTTCTTCCCACATACCTTACTGTATGATATACCATTTCCAATGAAAATGGGACCAAAAAAAAAGATTTCACCTTAAAAGTTTTTGACTTGAAATTGGAAAACCAGTATCTTATCACTGAAGAAAATTAAGCCTATCAAATTTCTATACTGAAATTTGTATAGCCCTTATAGTATAAAATATTATTTTACATGCTCTCATCAAATGGACATGCTTCTGTAGCTTCTATTCACTGTCATAGGTCTTGATACTAAGATCTAAATACAGATCTGTAATTTTACTGAAACAAAGCCTAATCAGTTTGAAATTTTTCAATAAATGCTCAACAATTTATATATATTCATTTGATCTAATAAAATAAAAAGCACACAAATTATCAATACAAGTCTATATTATCCATGACTTCTTGTACTTAAAATACAACACATGCAAATACTCAAAATTTGTATTTAAAATCATACCTGTCCATTTAAAATCCTTGTGAAAAGGGTGTTCTTATCTTTCAATTTTAGCTCAAGATCCATAAAAGTCAGTTTATTTGTGCTGACCTGGAATTTGTCATTAGTGAATAATGCACCAGATATTCTATTGTAACATTCAATTGGTGCAAGCCCTCTCTTCTTTGGAGGAGTACACCAGTCAAAGCTTGAACAGAACAAAACATTAGTTAGTAAGAGATTAGGTTTATAAATCAATGTAATTTCAGCAAAAATCAAAACTTACTCTTCAACAGATGTATAGGGTATTAGCCGTCCATTCCAAAAACATTCAAAAATAGGCCTTTTCCCTCTTGCTGCTTTCTCAAGTATAAAACAATCATCATCATCATCTTCATCTTTTAATTCTAAAGCAAATGCATGAACAGAGCAAAATGTTTATTGCTATAGAGTTTATGCAACTTTTACCACCAAGTAACCCACTTCTTTACGTGAAATATTGAAGTTGTGTCAGAGAAACTGTAACAAAAGCTCATAAGGTGTCTCACACTGCTTTCTATAAAACTTAATGACAACTTTAGTTTGCCCTCAGAAAGGCAGATTTCTGAAGCGGTACCACATTACCAAAGATGTTCTTATTTACGTTAATATATAATTACTTATGTTACTTATCAATCTGTGTTAAGAGTACTACACTAGCTGCTAAGCCTTCAATCTTAAAATCTATGTATAGTGTAAAAGAGTCACATATGTAAAGAGATTATGCCCTATAGCAAAATCCCTCTTCCTTACAAATATAAGAGCCTGAATCCTGTACCTCAAATACAAGTTTCACAATTCTGTCAGAACCAGTATGCTCACATAAAAATCATCTGGGAAATCTACAGTATCTAGTAGCAGCAACTTTGCCTAATTTGATTACTCAGTAACACTAAATTTAATTTTACTTTAAATAAGCTATTAAATTTTCAAAGATCAGATTTAGGTGATACAGCTAGAATTAGATTACAAAGCATCAAATGCAGAATTAGCACAATTGTCTATAACATTTTTATGCTTCTTAGCAATACATTTTCATATATCCAAATAAATTAGGATCAAACACTATGATCCTGATAGAGTAACACCTTAGTTACTTTGGCTTTCAGTCACCTATACAAAATAAACCCTTCTTCCCCCAAAAAACACTCAACAGAGAAGTTCCTTTCAATTAAACCAAATCACTTTGCTCTTAGAGAATCCCTCTGGATCACTCAACTTATTCTTATTTTAAGATACCATTTGAAACAACTTTATCTTTTTGTCTATAGCATACAAAAATGACAAATGTCAAACAAAAAAGGGTTCAGCTACATTGGGGAAGATAGAGCCACACTTACTAAATTATGATGGACGCTATTCTAAGGATTTGCACCAGTGTATCTAAAATTCACAACACTTCTACAAGGAAAGAGATGACCTCCCATTTCACAGATAAAGAAACAGAGATAAGGATTAGTTTGTCAAAGTTTACACAATAGAAAGTGGCAAAGATGGGACTTAAATTAGGAAACCCAGTTCCAGAACCCACAAGATTAAAAAGTACTCTGAATGAGAAAGTTTAATATCGTTAATCTACGTATGAATGCAATCTCAGTAACTCCACCAAGATTTTTTTCTTAAGTGAATGCACAAAGTGATTCCAAAGTTTACCCAGAAGAGCAAAAGATTAAGAATTTCCTCAAAGAAGAAAGGTGAATTTCCTAACCTGCAGGTATCAATATATAATATGAAGCTACAAGAGTATCATTACTCATGTATACATGTATATATAAAATACATCAATAGCTTATATAAAGAATTCAAATCTGTGTACTTAATGGAAGTCAGTATTATTACAAAATATTTCAAATATTTAAAAAATAACAACATCCAGTAACTGGTGCTACAAAACCAAATACTCACATGGAAAATATTAAGGCAAAGCCCTACCTCATTGTACGCACAAAAAAAGATTATAAGTGCATTAAAGATGTAAACATAAGATGATTTTTAAGAAAAGCTACAGGACCTTTTCATAATCTGGAAATGTAAGAAGGTTTTCCACAGCAAGACAAAAGAAAGCATTAAAAAAAATTAACATGACTATGAAAAGCTTTTATAAAACTTCTTTATAAACACCTACAAAGACAATGGGAAGACAATATATAAATGATTAATATTCAGTACATAGCTAAAAGTTCAGTAAGATATTCATGAGAAAAGAATATGTAATATTCCTTAAAGCCAGTGCTTTACTCATCTGGAAGTGAATACACACAAAAATCAAGAATTATAAAAATTATAAACACCTAACAACTTAAGCTTAAGAAAAAAAGTTTAAAAAAAAAAAGAAAAAAAGTTTTAATATTTATCTAGCCTTAACAGCCCGACTAATAATAATCATTAAAAACATTCTAAATCACAACTTCACATTTTGTAGCTAAGATAACAGATTAACATACTTGATGGAAAGCATGGATCATCGGGGTAAGTTTCTCTATCATATAAGAAAGGGTGGTATCGAATAATCCCTTCCACTACACCATCTCCTTCAACATGAGCCTTGAACTCAAAACTATCAGCTGCTGTGTTTATATACAACGTCTGCATGTCATCTTCTATTTCCCTTAGGTTGACAATCTTAGGTGCCTTCCCCTTTTCAAACATAGAAATCTAAAATAAAAATAAAACAAAAATAATTAAATTCTATGGTGACTTACTTTTGTTCTCAACTATGATCCAACAACAGAACAGGCAAGAACTGTATTTAAACAAGTAATCATATAGCTTACTTAAATATACATATATATATATATATGTTTATATATGGGTTAAATAACCATAAGAAGCATCTCAATAAGGAACACAATACACTACTTAAAAAAAATACAATGTAGCAAAGCAAAGCTGAAGAATAATTAACTAAGGAGTACATTTAAGGTTTCTTGCTAGAGGTAGGAAGTGAGACAATGATGCATGTGAAATTCTTTCCAAGGTGTGGGCAAGGATATTGAGGACTCAATACTGAAATGTTCTGTACTTCTAAATCTTACTTCAACATTATGAGACTTTTATGAACAAAGAGAAACACTTATATCCCTTTTCCTCCCCACTTTGAAACCTGATGTTCAACCACATCTAGCATCTCTGAGGAAGACAGGAGAAAAACAAAGCAAATCCTATACTAAATAAAGTTTCAAAAACTACATATATCTAGTAATGATCTCTTTACTTAAATATTAAATTGCCAAAGTACTTTGGTACAAGACAAGGAGAAAAGGATTGTCTATTGACTGATTTTTCTTATCCACATTCATTTGGAACTGGAACAGGTACCTAATAACTTGTAATATTTTAACAAAGAATTTTATCTTACTTCAATATCAATGTTGTTGAAAGGTCCAACTTCTTTTGAAGTACGTTTTTCATTTCCTTTTGGGCCATGAATATAGTAATGATAAATATGCCTAAAATACAGAAAAATAACTTTATACTTTTAATTCAATTTAATTCATAAAATTATACTTCATATAATAAGTTACAAAAAATTTTTATAACTACTATTTGACAGTATCTATTTGGTAGATGCCAGCCAAATACTATACTAGGCATTCTTAAATACAGTATACCATTTAATGGTAAAAACAATTTGAAATGCAGGTATTGTTACCTCATGTTATAGATACAGAAAGTGGGGTACAAGGAATTTTCAGAATTTACCTAAGGTTATAGAACTAGAGTTCAAGAGAGGTGGGCTACAATCCAAGACTTTCCAACATCAAAAGCCCACATGAATAATACCTCTAGGAAGAACAGTATGAGAACTAGAAGACAAAAGACTGTAATTCTTCTTGTCAGGAATGTTCTAGAAAGGACTTAAACATCAGGGAGTACATAGGATTGTATATTTTTAAATTATCTCAATATGAGAATATTACTCTACAACTCTCCTCTCTCCTCTCTTACAGCATTGAAACAATCTCCCCCCAACATTCCTAAAACAAAACTAATAAACTCAATATAATCCCTTTAAAAATCAATTCAGAACTCTCTGCTACTTTAAGTTTTAAAAGTTTTTTGGTGAGATTATTTAGGGCTAAACTGTACCACTTTATAATTTACTCTTCAAACAAGTATTTGCAATATTCCTTCATGTGAATTTTATTTGTAAAAAATTATCCCAGCTATTCTTTAAAATACTGAGATAAAAGGAATCACTGAAAATCTTTAGATCTTTCCTTATGCATATAAAAAGTGTTACTATAATCAGAAGTAAGTTTACAACAATACATTAAGAAAGTGCTATAAATAGCTTAAAAGAATTTCAAGAATGGTTAAAGTGATAGATTATTCTTTGTTAGAGCAAGATTATATTCTAAGTATGTGTTATGCATGCTGAGTTCCTTTGGTTAAATTATTACAAAACAGCTAATGAAATATGTATTTCAAGAATAAAAATTCCAAAGTCTTATTTAAAATTCTTACATTACAGACTCAACAAACATCAATATGCAGCAAAAAGGTACTTTTAAAATAAAGTTATTTTCCCATAAAAGAAAAGATTTTAGGGTTGCCCGAGTGGCTCAGTCGGTTGGGAGTCTGACTTCAACTCAGGTCATGATCCTGAAGTTTGTGGGTTCGAGCCCCATATTGGGCTCTGTGTTGACAGCTCGAAGACTTGAGCCTACTTCAGATTCTGTGTCTCCTTCTCTCTGCCCCTCCCCTGCTCATGCTCTGTCTCTCTCAAAAAGTAATAAAACACTTAAAAAATGTAAAAAAAATTTAAACAGTATATGTTTCTCTACAAAATAAAAAATCTCAAATGAAGTACATTAATTAGCCTTTTGGATAAATATGAAAAAATACTTTGTAAGAAATGTAAATGTGTGCATTTATACCCATTTTTGCCATATGCAGTAATTCAGACTAATGGAAATAATCCAGTAAATGGTCCTTACTACATAACTACAGAGAAAAAACTAAGAACCATTAAATATTCTGAATATTTGGTCTAATGGAATATGTCACACTCCCTAAAAGTCTTCCTGTAATAGATATACGACTATTTATTTTCAATATTATTCTTTGTCACATAGGCCAATTTGAGTATTTTAACAGACTTCATGCATTCATTCGATAAACATTTACTTATCATCATTATTTAACAGGAAACACTAGGAATATAGTAGTGCATAAAAAAAAGATTCCAATGGGAGATGTTATACAAAAAAATTAAAAATACATGGTATGGAAGATTATGATAGGTACTATAGAGAAGAAACACAAAAGGGGAATATGAAAGTCATGATGAATTTGAGAATTCCTGAGTTTACTTTAAATTTTATGACAGGTCTCAAAAGCCTGTCCTTCAAACAATGACCAACATACTACAAGTAATCAGTAATTATTTACAGAATAAAGAGCTGTTTTAATGCCAACATCAGAGTAGTAGTTACTGTACTGAAGAGAAGGAAATTAGGAGCAAAGCACACAACCAAGAGGTTTTTGATATATCTGTAATATTTTCTGTCTTAAAAAAAGTAGCAACATGTCCTGAATCAAATAATTACTTACGCTAACTGTCTTGTCCAAAGAAGAAAATAATTTTTCAAGTACTGTATGTGTTCTGGTTGTACTCCTGTGATAACCACAGCAGTAAAACTATCTTTTTCTTTCTCCTCTAAGATAAGATGATGTAGAAATCTTTCATCATCATTTGTAATGTGAACAGAATCAGATGGCTAGGAGAGTGAATATAAATACAACAGATTAGATACACTTAATTATAATAAATAACATTTACATTAATTTTTAATATGATTCACTTGGATAGTTTCATCAACAGGCTTCAAAAAAATTTTGAAGGAAAACGGCCCAATACAAATCAGCTGAGTATGTGACAATGCTGTGAGAGTAGGATAGCTTTAACATAGATTGCTAAACTGGCATACATACAGGAGTACCCTATACTATAATGCTAAGCCAATTGTAGAATCATAAAAGAAAAGGTAAAAAAACAACAAATACGGAGTTTAAAAATGCTGAAAAAAACTGAGGACATTTACCCTAAGGTGGAATGAATCCTTGCTTGAGACACCTACCACTTAAAATGGTCAGGACAAATGCCCAGCTCTCCATGTTCAAGAAAGCTGGGATGCAGCCTGAATTCAGCTGGCTTAGCCCAAAGGCACTGTGTTTAAAAAGGAGTAAAATCATCCTGTGCCCCAGTACAGTTTCAGAGAATATCTATAGCTTGCTCAGAAGGAAAGGAGGGAGGGGGAAAGAATTGGGAGTTTTCAAGGATAGGGAGTGTTCGAGGATAAGAATTACAAATACAAATGTCTCAGTTTTTACAGTTGGTCTATATGTGTTAAAATTACATACATACAATATGCATGTTGCTATATAATAAAAACTGATAAGGATACACACTAAACTATTTTATCTAAGAAACTGATTTTTTTAATGTTTTATTTCTGAGAGAGACAACGTGAACAGGGGAGGGTCAGAGAGAGAGGGAGACACAGAATCTGAAGCAGGCTCCAGGTTCTGAGCTGTCAGCACAGAGCCCGATGAGGGGCTCAAACCCACGAACCATGAGATCATGACCTGAGCCAAAGTTGGATGCTTAACCAACCGAGCCACCCAGGTGCCCCTGATTTTTTTTTAATAAGTATATATTACCAAAGAACTTTCTCTAAAGTAAATAAAATCAAGCCCTCCAAGGGTGCCTGGGTGGCTCAGATGGTTAAGCATCTGAGTCTTGATTTCAGCTCAGGTCATGATTTTGCAGTTTTTCAGATCAAGCGCCGTATCAGGCTCCTTGCCGCATGTGGAACCTGCATGGGATGTTCTCTTTCCCTCTCTGCCCCTCCCCTACTTGGGCACATGTACCCACGCGCTTGCTCGCTCGCTCTCTCTCTCTCTCTCTCTCAAATAAACAAACATTCAAACAAACCAACCCTCCAAAACCATTCCCATGCATTGCTACACGTTAACTCACTAATATTATAGCTAGAATATATAGTATACAAATAACATTTTATACACTTTTGAGAGCTTAGTGGATTAGTTTGGGTTTACTAATGATGCGGGTTCATTACCAAATTATTTATCAAGCACTTCTAAGTCCTATGACTCAACATGGGTACAGGGAAGACAACAGAGTTAAATAAGACAGCGCCCTTCTTCCCTACAAATTTCATCTGATAGATGAGAAACAAATGATTACAAAACAATGTGTCATTATAAAGATATGAACCAAGAGCTACAGAATTAAAAAGAGGGTGACATTTTCCCAGCAAATCATTATAACATTCCAGCCCAAAGATAACATGAAAGATTTGAGAGTATAAGGCAAACAAGGGTAGTGTGAAGTATATATTAAATATATGATGAAAGATGAGGCTAGAAAGGCTGAATGAAGCAGTGAAAACGGATGGAAGAGAGGGTAGATGAAAAACTATTTTTGGAAGTCAGAACTGAATGGTCAATAATTAACAAGAATTACACAATTACTAACTACTTTGGCCAGGGGATGGCTGTTAACTGAAGAGAGTAGTTGGGGGGAAAGGTGAAGAAACAGAAAGAATAGGGAAAGATGTAGATAATAATTTGATTTCAGGGGTACCAAAAGTGAGTTCCTTAGGGAACATTTGGGAAGGACATCTAACTGAAATTGGAAATGAGTGTGCCAGATAGGATCAGTTGGTATTCAGCACCGATTCATTCCATCTTTTGTTGTCCCTTCCTCGGCTGCAGAGAATGGAAAACCAGAAGTCTACTTTTCAGACTCCCTTACATTTTATGTCATGGAGGCAAATTACATTTCACCAACCACATGTAGGAGTCGAAGATTTAGAAGAGGAAAATAACTCAAAGGCCATTTCCTGAGATGTCCTGAATATTTTCTGTTATCAAGCAAGGTACTGAAATACCAATATCCAAGTTTTGGCTTCAAGTGTTAGCACTGATACAGCACGGGTTATAGCCAGAAGGTCTGTGTTTTGGTGTTGGAGTAATTATGGCAGCAAGACCTTTCCAACATCTGGATTACAAATAAGGCAATGTGTTTCTAAATTCCAGATCCAGTGGTGGTCCTTCAGCTACATGATTATAGCAGATGTTACAGCTTCCCCTGAAGGTCACTTTAGGGTGTCCCAGTATCTTCCTATGAGGCTCAGCCCATTCCTAGCCATTCCAAAAATCATGCAAGCAAATTCCTTTTATTAAATCCTTTTCTGTTTAAAGTGCCTAGAATGATTTGTTTCCTCAATGGAATCCAGCCTAATTCAGTGTCTCAATCTTGAGAAACGTCTTGACAAATACAGATTTAAGAACCATTGGTATTAAGTGGCATAAAGATTGCTCCTTAGAAAAAGCAAGACTCCTGGATAAAGATCAAGAGCCACCAACTCTATACACATTTTAATAACTGTGTTTAATAGTTGAAGAAGCCAAAAAGTAGGATGGAAACGATTTTCCAGAAAAAAGACCAAGGGCCTGCTAGTACTCATGAAACCTATGTTGGGACAAATTAAACACAAATCAAAATAATGTGGCAGAAATAATGACCCGAGACATTAGTTCTATCCAAGCTTTATCATACCTATACAGCTTTAAAAACTGCTTATATTCTGAACTCCTATTTTTCACCAGTTTTAACATGGCAAATAAGATTTCCACAAATATACTTTACAGATTTTTGTGATGGTAACATAAGATGACAAAGATAAGATAGAATATTATTATGTAAACAAGATATATAAATTGTATACTAAAAGCAACAAGTTTAAAAAGGCAAAAAGTGGATGAGCAAACCGAAGAAATTTCCTAGACACGGGAGAATGTTAAGTTATACAGAAAATAAAAGTGGCTTATAAGTATTAAAAAAAAAAATTCAGCCCATTAATAAAGGTATTTTTACCTGTCAAATTGCCAGCATTTTGCTGCCTTCCCCTCCATTCCACTTTTTAAAAATAAGGAAATTATCAGATAGGCACTTTCACATACTGTTTTGGGGAGTGTATTTGATGTGGGTTTAACCTTTTAGAAAAATGATTTTGTAACACACACTATGAACATTTAAAGAGTTTAAATTCATTGTCACAGCTATTAAAATTCTAATAGTCTATATAAAAAAAATTATTTGGGGGGCGCCTGGGTGGCTTAAGCAAAGTCCGACTTTTGCTTAGGTCATGATCTCGCGGTTCATGGGTTCGAGCCTCGCGTCGGGCTCTGTGCTGACTGCCAGCTCAGAGCCTGGAGCCTGTTTCAAAGTCTGTGACTCCCTCTCTCTCTGACCCTCCCCTGCTCAAGCTGTCTCTCTCTCTCTCCTAGAAATAAATAAAAAACATTAAAAAAAAAAAAAAAACTAATTTGGGCAAAATATTACGCAAAGACATTCATGGCAGTGTACTTATAATAAAACCCTTTAAATACAGTAAATGTTCAACAGAATAAATTGTAATAAATTCAGACAAAATACTATGAATGTATTAAAAATGTATGTGTACTAGGGCACCTGAGTGTTTCAGTCGATTAAGCACCCGCCTTTGGCTCAAGTCATATCTTGTTCACAGGTTCAAGCCCCGCCTCAGGCTCTGTGCTGACAGCTCAGAGCCTCGAGCCTCCTTCAAGTTCAGGGTCTCCCTCTCTTTCTGCTCCTCCCTTGCTCACACACTGTCTCTTTCTCTCTCTCAAAATGAATAAACATTTTAAAAAATAATATTAATAAAAGTGTGTATGCACCAAAATATTTTATAAAATGGAGAAATATTCAAAATATTAAAAAATGTGGGCCCAAAAAATGTAAATATATAAAAAAAATACGTATATGAAGGAGATTAAGAGTATAATTCCCCCCAGTTCAAGATGCCAATAAGGAGTTTTTATTTTTAATTCCAGCGTTATACAGTGTTATATTAGTTTCAAGTAAGTGTACTCTTATCTTGATAAGCAATGAGTAATATATGGAAATGTTGAATCACTATATTGTACACCTGAAACTAATACACAACACTGTATAACACTGGAATTAAAATTTTAAAATACCAAAGAAAAAAACAAAAAACAAACCTATAACCACATAATAAAATTTAAAAGTTATACTAGAAATTCAACTAGATTTATTTTCCTGGAATTTGAGGCAATTTTTATTTTTTCATTCCTGTAAACTTTTTATAACTTGTTTTAGAATAAGAAAGGAATTTAAGAAGCTCAAAATTACTTTTAAATAAAGATTTTTAAACAATTCTAACATGTTTCAAGTGGAGAAAAATTGAGTAATACAATAAATACTATGTACTCACCATCAAGACTCAAATTCATTAATATGCTGCTCATTAAAATTAGAATGAGTGCAAATTTCTAACAAAAATACATCGCTCATTTATTTTTCTGGAGCTCCGATCTCCTAAATGCCTATTATCCTATACTTGTAACTGTTTTGTACTCTCATTCTGAAATTGTTAGACCAAAAAATGATTTAAAAAATCAATCTCAGTGTAAGGGAAAAAGTTTATAATCATATAATCAATTTCCAAGGAAGTTTACTCCTTGTCTCAGCTTTATGAGACAATTTGTTGCGTTGAAGATTTGCAGCCTGAGAAAGCATATGAACGGTCACTTATGCTATTCACAAGACTAAAGGAAAAAGAACAAAAATTAAGTAATGGAATTTGAAAACTCCATACCTTCAAGTTTTTAAAGCAACAACCGCTAAGTATCTTAGCTAGAAACTGAAAAAATGTTCTTGTCCATATCATCTGTCCAATGTAACAACTTTATAAATAATGAGTAAAATGTATCATACCTTTCTGTTTCTAATATATCCACTATATATTGCCTCTTTATTCTTCTCCTTTTTCTCAAAATCTTCTTTTGAAAGCACAAGTTCATGAACATCTTGGGAATCTGCAGGTTTACTTATCATCTGTTAAATATTAAAGACTACTTTAAAAATTCCTAAAAGTTAAACTAGTTAATACATTTAAACAATCAATCTCAAAGTATTTTTAATCAACTCTCATTTAAGAGAAGTCTTTTTACTTACTCTGGCTGATTGTCCAACAAAGAAAACAGCCTGCTTGCCCCCAACACCAAAATAGGAAATATCACTATTTAAACTGCGTGGCACTGGTACTGGACGAACATATCCTGAATGATCACTAAAATAAAACATTAATGCAGTGATTTTAAACAAGCTACTCAGATGCCAAAAGAAATTGTTAAAGCACTTTTATTAAGTGTTAATACAATGATCCCCAAGCTAGACAACACCTCTATTCAAAGTAAAAGAATCAGAGCCCAAAGTTGAGATAAATAGTCCAGTGGTTCTCAAAATCTATTCCCCAGACCAGCTATATCAAAAAACCTGGAAACGCAAGAAATGTACCTTCTTGGGCCCACCCCACTAAATCATAAACTCTCTTAGCAAACAAAACTAAGTATCTGTATCCATATATATCCCACTGTCCCTAGAGCTGTCCCTTCAAAATTGCTACTGCTTCTCAACTTATAAAAATATTCTCTGAATAATGGGAATTACAGCAAAGACATTCTTATTTCCTAGTAACATGACAAAATAACCTCTTATGGCACCATAACAACACAACAGGGAGTAAGCATCCCTGGTTTCTCAAAATATAGGCTAAATCTCAAGGGACATCATTTCCCAGTATCTGATATAAACAGAATTGGGGGTGAGGTGGGGCGCCTGGGTGGCTTAGTCGGTTAAGCGTCCGACTTTCGCTTAGGTCATGATCTCGCGGTTCGTGGGTTCGAGCCCCGCGTCGGGCTCTGTGCTGACTGCCAGCCCAGAGCCTGGAGCCTGTTTCAGGGTCTGTGACTCCCTCTCTCTCTGACCCTCCCCTGCTCACGCTGTCTCTCTCTCTCTCCTAGAAATAAATAAAACATTAAAAAAAATTAAAAAAAAAAAAAAGAATTGGGGGTGAGGCTATAACCTCTATTATACTCAACAGAAAAGCTAAAGATCAGATGTGTCATAGTTAGAAAGAGAAAATACAAAGATAATATTCAAAGAACTTACCCATAAGAATAAAGAAAGAAAAAGAACAGAAAATATCAAAGTAGGTAAAAAGTCATAAGGGACTATAGGAAACTACCTCACTATACTACAGGTGTAGTTCTAGAAAGAGGAAAAAATGGAAAAGGCTACAAATAATGTCTGACAAAAGCTGGGGAGTACAGGACACAGGAAGAGACTGTAAAGGAATGCAAATTTTCAGCTATAAGAAAAATAAGGTCTGCGGATCTAATCAATAACACTGTATTGTATGAATAACTGAAATCTGCTAAGAGAATAAAATTTAAAAATGCTCTTCTCTGTCTTTTAATTGAGGTTTTAGGTCAATTACATTACTGTCATTATTGGTGTGTTTTTATTTAAACTTAACCATCTTTGTTAAGCACAGAGCCTGCTTGGGATTCTCTCCCTCCCTCCCTCCTCCTCCCCAATACGTGTGCTCTTTCTCAAAATAAATAAAAAGAAAAGAAAAGAACCAGAATACAGTTCAATATTTAATATATATCAACAGAAAATTTGTAAAAACAAAAGATCAAGACAGTAAATGGCATGAGGGCGCCTGGGTGGCTCAGCTGGTTAAGCATTCAACTTCGGCTCAAGTAATGATCTTGTGGTCCACGAATTTGAGGCCCATGTTGGGCTCTGTGCTGACAGCTCAGAGCCTGGAGCCAGCTTCAGATTCTGTGTCTCCCTCTCTCTCTGCCTCTCCCTTGCTCTCTAAATAAATAAATAATAAACACTAAAAAAATTTAAGAGAGTAAATGGCATAGATATTACTGCTGTGATGCACTAATACTGTATACACAGTGGTGTATTATTACTTGATATGAACTGTGATAAATTAAAGATACTTTGAATCCTAAAATTATCAATAAAACAAGGGTAACAAATAAGCCAACAAAGGAAATAAAATAGAATTACACACACACAAAATACTCATTTTAAAATAAGGCAGAAGAAAAAAGAAAAACAGGAACAAAAAAACCGTAACAACAACAAGAAAAACAAATAACAAAGACGGCTGAGTTTAAATCAAAACATACCAATAATCACAGTAATATAACTGATCTAAAACCGCAATTAAAAGGCAGAGATTGTGAAATTTTAAGACACAAATATATGCTACCTTAAAGCAACTTTTTTTTTCCTGGAGACTCAAATATAAAGTGACAATAGGTTAAAAAGTTGGAAACAAAGTTACCATCTTAGCACAACTGTAAAGAAAGCTGTGGTAACATCAAATAAAGTTAAATGAAGCAATTAAAAAAAAGAACAATGAAACAAATATAGGGTAAAAAAATAGGCCATGCTTGAGTTTTAAAATTATATTAGACTGCTGAAATCAAAGTAACACTATTTGATACGGTTCTCAATGTATACAGAGGTAAAACTTAAAACTAAATTATAAATGGGAGAGAGTGAGGGGATCTAAATAATTTGATAAAATTTCTACAATTCACTTTCAGCGGTAAAATATCCTTACTAGTACAATGTAATGTTGTATTCTCCAGAACAACCACTAAAAAAGAAATTAACCAAAAATATAGTCAAAATCATTTTATAAAAAGAGTAAAGTACAGAATAGTTAAATATGTCAAGTAACCCATAAAAAGGCCAGAAAAATGAAAAATAAAAGGGATAGAAAAGACATGACACACTTAAGTCCTAACATATATATCAAGAACTACAGTAAATAGGACAATACAAATACACTAAATAAAATTGGCAGAGTGAATAAAAAAGTGACCCAACTATATATGGTCTGTAAGAATTTCATTTCAAACTTAATGATATAGGTAGGTTAAAAGAAAACGGTTAAGACATACCAGGAAAACATGAATGAAAAGTAAACTAAAGAATATCACATAAAATATACTTCAAAGCAAGAAAATTATCAGGGACAGGGTAGCATTACTTAATGATAAAAAGATCCAATTACCAAGAATACATAACAATTCTAACTGTGTATATACCAAATAACACAAGTTCAAAATACATAAAGCAAAAATTAAAAGTGAAAAAAGAAAATGAAACACACTTGCAAATAAGTGGGGGGCTTCAATATTCCTGCAAGGGTATAAAACCATATACCAGCAAGGATATAAAACCAGCAAGGATATAAAAGAACTAAACAATACCAAAGAGAGTCAAATTGACATTTACAGAAGACTCCTCTCAACAACAGAATATACTTTCCAAGGACAAAGAAAACTCCCCAAAATAGCACAAAACAAATCTCAACAAAATTAAATAGAGCATATACAAAGTATTTCCTCTGACCATAATAAAATCAAACTAGACATCAACATAAAGAGGTAAATGTGTTAAGAACATGTGGAAACTGAACAACACATTCCTAAGACAATCTATGATCAAAGATTGAGCAAGTTGCAAAGGAAATAAAAAATACACCAAACTGTAGGGAAATGAATATATAGCATTATCAACACTTGTGGGATGTCCTGAAAGTTCTTAAAAGAAAATTTATACCACAAAATAATCATCTTAGAAAAGTCTCAATCATTTAAGATTCCACACCTCAAGATAGTACCAAACAAACAAAAAAAAGGACATAAATAAAGAGCAAAAATCAAAGACTCTGAAAAGAGAGAAAAAACATTTTTTTCTTATCAAAGTCCACATTGTTTCTTTGAAAACATTACCAATAACTATATATTAATAAACTTGAAAATTAAAGAAATGGAGTAATTACTAGTAAAATATAACTTACCAAAACTAAGTCATTAATAGCCTAAACATTCTTTTAACTATATTTAAAAATTCAAAGCAATAGTAAAAAGTTCCTCACACCAAAAACTTAACAGCCTCAAATGGCTTATGTGAGTTTCAAAACTCAAACTTCAACAACAAAAAAAACCCTCAAACTTACATGATAGAAGTATAAATAAATACAATCACTCCAGAAAATAATTGACTACTACCCTGTACATTGGAACTTTTATCTTTATAACCCACAAATTCCCTTCTAGGTATCTAAGAACTTATGCAGATTTCGACTAGCAAACATATATAACATTATACATACACATATACACTTGTAAGTAAAACACTAATGCTCATAATGCTAAATGTGGCAGGGGAAGTCAAATGCCCACTGACTGGAGACTGGATAATACATTGCATTATTAAGTATACACAAAAGACTATTATACAGTTATGAAAAAGAAAAAACTAGAGACCCACAAAAGGATGGAATCTTAGTAACCTAATATGAAGTGAAAATACAAATCCCTTATAGAACAACATATAATATGACTATCCTTCTTTGCAGCATCAAAAAACAAGCCAAGTTAGATTTTTTAAAAATAAGGAAATAAGGGGGCACCTGGATGGCTCAACTCTTAATATCAACTCAGGTCATGAGCTCAGTTTCATTTGTGATATCAAGCACAGAGCAAAGCCGGCTTGGGATTCTCTTTCCTCCTCTTTGTCCCTCTCCCACCTCAAAATAAACAAACATTTAAAAAAAATAAGGAGGGGCATCCGAGTGGCTCAGTCAGTTAAACATTCAACTTCAGCTCAGGTCATGATAATGCCAACTCGCGAGTTCGAGCCCTGATCCAGGCTCTGTGCTGACAGCTGAGAGCTTGAAGCCTGCTTCGGATTCTATGTCTCTCCCTCTCCCTCTCTCTCTGCCCCTCCCCTGCTCACACTCTGTCTCTGTCTCAAAAATAAACAAACATTAAAAAATTATTTTTAATAAAAACTAAAATAAAATATTTAAAAGATAGGGAAATAAAAACAATTCAAGATAGTTAACTTTGATGGGGAGAAACAAAACAGAACAAGGGAGGGGCACAAAGATCTAAGTTACAGAAACTGTGCTACTTATTGGTTTGGGTGGTAAATTCTGGTTATTTGGCCTATTAAATTTTTCAATAAATAAACCTTAAAAACAGAATGCCTGAATTTATAAATTGTCATAAACCAAAAACTATAATTAATCAAATTCTACGAACCCAATGTATGTTAAGAAAAATAAAAAGTAGGGGCACCTAGGTGGCTCAGCTGGTTAGGCAACTGACTCTTGATACTGGTTCAGGTCATGATTCCAGGGTTGTGAGATCAAGCCCCCTAACCAAAAGTAAATGAGTTCTAAGA